TCTTCAGGCTCAATTCTCACACGTTATTAAGTTACAAACATCCTCACCGTTCAACGGACACGACTTCTTTACCTGGAGCTTCGAGTTCGAGCTGCTGATGGAGGCCGCGCATCTTCTGGGATACTTCAACGGGTCCCTGCCATTTCCAAGCAACGGCACTGGAAAGGAGCAAGAGATCTTCACGTATCAGTCGCTGCTGGCGTATACAGTCCTCCTGCGGAACCTGTCACCACAAGAACAGCAGAGCATCAGAACATATCGGAGTTATGGGAACTCCGCGGAACTCGCATGGCATCATCTCAAGTGCCTTTATCAAGCAAACGACAGCGTGACGCAAAGCAGACTCATGCAACAACTGACAACAATACAGATGAAGACCGGGGAAAAGGCAATGCAATATATGAGTCGATGCCAGACTCTCCGCGACCGCCTGCTTCGGTGCGGAGGAACAATCACTGAAGAAAGCTTCGTGACACTTGTCCTCGCCGGGCTCGGGCCAGAATGGAGAACCACACGATCACTTCTTCGCGCCCACGGAAGAATTTCGGAGATGCACCTCTGCGCCGAGCTTCACGCTGAACAACAGGAGATGGACCTGTTCGAAGAAAGACAACCAAGGAAGCAGCAGCAGTTAGTCTTCTACACTCAACGAAGAAACGACAACACCTACAATCGACGCAGCAAGCAAGAGCGCGACAACAGAGGGACTACCTTTGTGCCGCCGTTCTGCCACAACTGTCAGACTTCCGGGCACTCCAAGGTCAACTGCAACCGCCCTCGCGTTTACTCTCCAGCAGACCCACAAGTTGCTTCAACCCAAGCAAGTCCCCCAAGACGCTCTTCAACATCTGCACAACAGACACCAAACATTATCAATTGCATGGTACACATCGACAACTGTGCACCCGGCTCACCGCCCACTTACGCGCCAGACGAAGAAGAGCTCCCGCCACCACGCTCACAAGGACTTCAAGTCAATCCGACGTACGCTGCGGTCGCCAACGCCGAACCAACCGGACGAAACACCTGGTTCCTGGACAGCTGCTGCGGTCAACACATGTGCTCCTCGGGACGCTTCGTGCAACAGGAGAAACGGCTCAACCGCGACGTCGTCATCACCGTCGCCAACAACGAAAACCTGAAGACAAACAGACAAGGCGTGGTTCAGTTACAATCCATGGAGACAAACGTAATACTTCAGCTCAACAAAGTACTCATCGTCGACAACTTGGGATACAACCTACTAAGCGTAAGCCAACTAATGGCCAAGGGGATTCACCTGGAGTGCGACTCCTTCTCCAACGAGTTCCGGCTTTACCACGGGAAGGGCGGCCTCTTCATAGGTCGTGCCCTCCTGAAGTCAGGTGTCTTCGTGTTGGACTTTGTCCCCGACCGCGGTACTGCCGACAGCGACGGTATCGTATCGTTCGCCGCCTGGACACACCCGCCGGACCTTGATCCCGACTTCGACAGTGACGGCTTCTGGCACTCCAACACCATACCTGCAGCAGAAAGAACACGAGCATTAGCAGTTATCAGACAAGAACGGCAAGTACCAACAAGCGTCCAGTCCCAACCATCACCTGCAGTAGCAGCAGCAGGACCAAGCCGAGTACCACCACCGGCAGTCCGAGGACCGCCAACCGAAGCAGATCAACTTATGCCCATCACACGAGAAGTCTGTCGAAGTCCCGCCACAGTCGTCGCATTCTTCTCCAACGCCGACATATACCACCGCTCACCCGGACATCGCGCTCCCGACGACATCTGGCACCAACGCCTCGGGCACCCTGCAAATAGTACAATACTACAAACCATCCAAGCCGAAGTGTTAGAACGCAACGCCCTCCTAACAACGAACGGCCAAGAACTTCGACGACCTCGCGCACGGTGCTTCACGTGCCCCGAAGCAGATCTTCCTCATCAACCCTTCCCATCACATCATAATCCAAGCGCGCCTGCATATGCAACGATGGAAAAAGTCTACAGCGACATCTTGAACATGCCCCGAGACGACACGGAAGCCGACTTCAACTACGTCATCACCTTCGTCGATGCAGCAACAAGATACACTTGGCATTACAACCTCAAGACGCGCGATAAAGCCTTCGACGCCTTCACAACATGGCTCCCCATCGCCGAACGGGAATCAGGAACCAAGCTAAAAAGTTTCCAGTCAGACGGCGCACTGGAATACCAGTCACAACGCTTCAGGACCTATCTGGCGGAAAGAGGAATCAGGTGCCTGGTGTCCCTACCATACGCTCACCAGCAGCAGGGGGTCGCAGAACGCATGAACCGGACCTTGCAGACGACAATGCGAAAGCTGCTCCTGGGAATGAAACTACCCAACACACTGTGGCCAAACGCGATGACACATGCAGTCCACCTGCACAACCTGTTGTCCTCGTCATCGCTCCCCAACAACGCATCACCACACCTGCTGTGGACGGGAAAAAGGGGCAGCACAAAATTACTTCGAGTTTTCGGCTGCATGGTACAATACAGACCCCACACAGCTCGAGCAGGACGCTTCACTCAACGAGCTCGGTGGGGACTACACCTCGGCATCGCCAAACATTTTCACGCGTGGAAGATTCTCGACATACAAGACAAAAATACGGTGGCATCACGTGATGTTATCTTCTACGAGCGACTGACGCTGCAGCATTACCTGGACAACATTGCCAACTCAGACGACCCCACCGACGGCTTCGCGGGCCTTCGCTCCTTCGCTGACCATGCTGCCGAGGCTGACGCAGCAGAAGAAGACGTCCCTGGAGCCTCGGAGGCTGCCGGACCACTCCCCTACTGCTCCGTACCTGTTCCACTCGATGAAGATAATCCCCTCGATAGCAACAACCTCGACACCTTTTACCACTTCGCTGACCAAGGCTACGCTACACCACACCCCGTCGACTCGAATATTTCCGAACGCATCGGGCCAAACTTCTTACCCGATCCTGAAGACGGTGATGAAGCAGCTTATCCCGGGAATGAAAATTCCCCTCGACACACAGCCACGGGACTGCAGATCCTAGGACTATGGGTCTCCGTCCAGCACCCGCCGCCGCCTTCTCCGCGCGAGCCATCGACCCTGTCGCAGGCTCTGGGGGGGGAACATAAGGCGGAATGGAAGGAAGCAATGGAAAAAGAGTTAAAAGCCCTCCAAGACCGGAATACATGGAAGTTAGTACCGACAACCAACACCAACGGGAGGAACACTCTCTCGGGGAAATGGGTGTACCGCATTAAGACCAACGCGGACGGCTCCATCGAACGTTTTAAAGCGCGATGGGTCGTACGAGGCTTCAACCAACGATACGTAACCGACTACACAGAAACCTTCGCCCCAGTCTCCCGTCACACCTCCCTGCGCATCCTACTCGCCGTCGCGGCCACGAAGAAACTACCACTACGGCAAATCGACGTCGCAAACGCCTTCTTGTACGCACCTGTGGACGCCGAAATCTTCGTCGAACAACCCCACGGATTCATCGACGACCCTTCAAAAGTATGCCAGCTGGAAAAATCCCTTTACGGGATCAAGCAAGCCCCACGGCTCTGGCAGCAGCACCTTCACGGCCGGCTCGTAAAAATCGGATTCCTACAGTTACCACATGACCAAGGCATGTACCGACTGCAGAAGGGAAGAGATTACATTCTGCTCATAGTCTACGTCGACGACCTGCTCTACATCGGTTCTACCACCGACATCGTCACCTGGTTCGAAGGGGAGCTGAAAGGGGACCTGACGCTCACGGTGTCCGACTCAGTGACCCAGTACTTGGGACTAAATGTCGTCGAAGACAACTCGGCGTTCTACCTACACGCTGGAAAGTACGCTGGCACTGTCACGAAGAAATTCGGACTGACGCCGACTACGGTCCCGACTCCCTACCGCTACGGAAACAACAACAGCGCCTCCGCAAAACTCCCCGCGAAGCAAATCCAGGAGTATCAACAGAAGCTCGGTTGCCTACTATTCGCAGCAGTCACCTGCCGACCCGACCTGTCCTATAGTGCGAGTCAACTAGCGACGCATCTGAAGCAACCGGAACAGGAAGATCTCGAGGAACTCAACCGGGCACTACTCTACTTCGTCTCCACGCCGACGATCGGACTTACCTACAGCAAAGCGACAACACCGTCCGTACAACTACTCGGATACGTCGACGCCGACCACGCGGGAGACAGGGAAAATCGACGATCTAGGACGGGCTACATCTACCGACTAGAACCCATCGGAACTATCTCCTGGCAGTCGAGCAAGCAGGAGTTAATCGCACTATCCTCGGCTGAAGCAGAGTACATCGCCCTTTGTACTGCGACCAAGGAAGGACTCTACCTGCGAGAGTTACTCGAGGAAGCGAAGATCACGACCCTGCCCGCCTTCTCACTCTTCTGCGACAACCAATCTGCGATCAAAATCGCAAACAAGGACGGCTTCGCCAACCGAACCAAACACATCGCCCTACGGTACTTCTTCGTCAACGATGAAATCGCGAAGGGGAGACTTCAACTCAGTTACTGCCCGACGACAGAAATGGCCGCAGACTATTTGACGAAGAAATTGGCGAAGACAAAATTCGACCACTGCATGCTGCTGACCGGACAGACAAACGTCACCAGATCCGAACATAACAGCACTCCAGAAACGAAGGGGAGTGTTGGAAATATCTCAAAGAACTTAAGCGTTTCTGAAGTGTAACACTACACTCGAGGAAGACTACAAGGGAGCACGCGAGTCAACGGAGGTTACACGAGGGGGCGGACAAAGAATGCGAAAGGTCGCAACTGGAGGTTGCGACTGACCATTACAGCATCATGGATGGTAACCGAAGTAGCAATCGAGTCGCTGTGCGACTCGATAAACCGTTCCTGTAACTGTACTCTACAACTGCTTTCTTATCTTCTATATATTGCTGTATGCTTGTTTCCTTAATCAATCACTTGTTCTCACATACTAGTACAAGGGTTCAACTGCCTCAACTTCCGCTGCACTACCCCAAGTCTCAAGTCTTCACAGCTGGGACTTAGTCTCTGGAAAGATCCCAAGGGCTTTTCTCAGCCCAACAAGAACTGTATGAGGAGGAGGACCACGAGGTAGAGGAGGACAGCTGTGCTAGCAACGGGTTTACCTCCAGTGATGATGATGATGGGAACTTCTAGTGTTAGAGCTTTGTATTGCTGTTACTGCTGATGCAGCTAAGTGACCTTGAGCCACATTTCAGGCAATTTATAAATTTACCCTGAGGCGACAGTTTGTACCTAGAAAACAACCTTGACTAATCAGTGTGAGCCATGGCGTCCAGCCCTGACTGCTGCACGCTTCTTTGGGGGCATGCTCTGAGCCGTCAGGATGCCTGAAATCCTATCTGAGGTTTTGGGTATAAGATCCGAAGCTTGGCACCGGAAAAGTGTACCCATATTGGTGTGCACGCTCATGCATCTTGTGCAGTGGTGCAGGCAACAGGAGATACCAGATGTGCAGCAACAATCCTCACCTCAGACACCACCTGCTCACATGTGTATGTATCCCCTTGCGGTAACCCAGCACCAACTATCAACTGTTCCATTCTGCAGCACCGCACATGACACATCTCAACACCACCGGTACACCCCCCTCCACTGCCTGTTCCTGACAAGCGCCCCCTGCCCTCACTTCCCCTTTCCACGCCACCCCTCTAACTTCTCCCACACGAGGCGATGCCTGTCTTTCCTTTCTCAAAGCTTTCAGCACATCTCCATTCCCTCGTCTTCTTTGCAAGTCAGGAGGAGGCGTGTGCGATGGCAACTGTCCCAGTGCTGTCTCCGCATCCTGTATTAGCAGCACTGCATCATCTTCACCGTCACAGCCTCCCCCTCTTCTATGCGACCTATCAAGACACGATCCGCTCCCCTCCTCCCTGCTACAACTCCCGCCTTCTCTCGCGCTGCCGTCCCTCCCATGACTCAACTCCTCACCCAACAGCCTCGCTTCATCACTCCCCTCTCTTGCCTCCCCCCCTCGTGGGCCACACTCTAACGACTCAGGCCTTCTTGAAATGCCTCTGGGTGAATCACCCATAAGTGGCGGCTCTGACCGATGACTCACACTTGACTCTGCCACTAAGGGCATCACCCCTTGCTGCCAGTAGGAGAGCAGGCGCAGCTCTGAAGCATCGACTGGGCCTGCACGGGGGCCGCAAAGAGATGTGGCAGGAGACCCTTTCCGGCTCAGGCTACTTTCTCCTCGTCCTCCTGTCACTCCTTTTCCTCCCCTCCCTCCTCCTTCTCGCTCTCCTTCCACCTGTATACCTCCTTCCCCCGTGGCAGCTGCAGGAGCAGCAGCCGTGGCAGCAGCGGCAGCAGTGGCAGCGGCAGGAGCAGGAGCAGCAGCAGTGCTGCTGCTTGGCATGGCTCTCCGCTGGCGCCTTCTTCCCCTCGTGCTTCCCCTGCCCACTCCCAGAAACCCCCCGCCTTCCCCTTGCCTGCCATTACGCCCCTCAAGCACTGCCCGTACTCTCTCCACAATAGGACACGATGGAAACCGCACGTCCGAGACAGCACGAGATACATCACACGTGGCAGCAGACAGGTCAGTTACAAGAGATGACAGGTCAGACTGTGACGTGGAGGCGGATGCACAGGTGGCAGCAGAGGCTGTTACAGCAGGTGAGTCTGCAGCAGGATGAACAGGAGGGTTTGTAGGTGTTCTTGCTGGAGCTGGTGCTGTTGCTGGCGATGGTGCTGATGCTGTTGCTGGTGCTGATGCTGGTGCTGATGCTGGTGCTGGTGCTGGTGCTGGTGCTGGTGCTGGTGCTGGTGCTGGTGCTGGTGCTGTTGCTGTTGCTGTTGCTGGCGCTGGTGCTGTTGCTGTTGCTGCTGGTTCTCTGCAGGGAGAGATCGCTTGTGTGGTTTGTGCAAGGGAGCGTGTGAGGAGTGACGAGGAGGGATGACGAGGTAGCGACGAGGGAAGGAAACGAGATGGCGGATTGGTGCAGGCCGTCCCACCAGCAGGAGCAGGAGCAGAAGAAGCAGGAGAGGGTGCACTTGCAGTGGTGGCACCTACTCCTGCTACAGTGACAGCAGCAGCATCAGCAGCAGCAGCGGAGTGTAGGAGACAGGAGCGGTGGTAAGAGTGGCGGCAGAAGAAGACAACAGCTGCTGAGTCAAACAGACAGATGGAATCAAGGCACAGACAGCACCGGCTGCTGCCAGCCAAAGCCACCTCCCCCCCTGCTACTGCCACTGCTGCTGCATGCTCGTGAGAGTTATAATTTAAAATAGACCTGTCACCCGCCCCATCCTCTACGGAAGCTGCATCTGCTCCAAACCAACCAGCAGCAGCACCACCATCACCACTAAGACTGGCTCCTTCCCCTCCCACAACCCCGGAACCAGCCACTTCCGCTTCTGCTGCTGCTGCTGCTGCTGCCGTTCCTGCTCCCCCCCCTGCCCCTGCCCCTGGCCCTCCCCCTGCCCCTCCTCCTGCTGTCCCTGCTTGTTCATCCTCCACCAATCTCCTCCATCCCCGCCCTTCTCTCTCAGAGAACATCAGCCCAGAATTAGCAGCAGCAGCGGCTGCAGCAGCAGAGGAGGCAGCGGTGGGAGTGGGAGGCAGCCAGGGAGGGGGCAGGGAGGAATGTGTCGGGGAGGAGAGGAGGAATGCAGGCGTGGTGAATGTGGAAGAGGGGATGGAGAGGGTGAATTTCCAGGCGGAGGAACCTACTCGCACCGCTCTGCACGCCTTTCTATGGAACGAGGAGAAGAGCTTGAACCAGCCGGACTGCAGTGCGACTCACAGTCCAAGGCAGAAAGGCACAGGAAGCGGGGGGGGGTGGAGGGAGGGAGAGAGGGAGGGAGGATATGAGAGGGGATGAAAAACGGATCGTGGAAAAGGGAGGAGAGGGGGGAGGGAGGAGGAGAGGGGGAGGGAGGAGGGGAGGGGGGAGGGAGGAGGAGAGAGGGGAGGGAGGAGGGGAGGGGGGAGGGAGGAGGAGAGGGAGGAGGGAGGAGGAGAGGGGGAAGGGAGGAGGGGAGGGGAGGGGAGAAGGATAAGGAACCAGGTCCCTTTCTTAAATCGTCCTGCTGTTGCTAGGGCCGGGTATGTGGCGTCTAAGCCCCCTGAAGCTTAAGCAAGCGAGGGCTGTGAGCGAGCTATGTGTGAGCTTCAGAAGCTATGTCAAGGAAGCACGGACGGGAGAAAAATGATGGACAGCAGCCGTGTGGAATGGACTGGAGTGGACTGGACTGGAATGAAGTGGACTGGACTCACGAGAACGAGGTGGTGCGTTTGCTGCTCGATGGCGGCCTGGCATGAGGCGGATCGCAGGAGAGGAATGAGTCGCTGCTTCAGCCTGGTGGTGGCGGTGGCAGGGGCAGGTAGATGCGAGTGAGGGAGTGCGGAGTGGGAATGTGCATGTGTGTGAGTGTTTGTGTGTTGAGGAGGGGGGTGGGGGGAGGACAGGGGGGTGGTAGAGCGGCGTAGGGTGGGGAGGGGGAGCAGGAAGGAGGGTAGAAAGAGAAGAAAGTGCATTTGAGGGAGTAGCATCTGGGCAGTCACACTGGTGCGTGCTTGCACGGAATTTATCACGCGTAGAATTCTCAAAAAGCGGCCGGCGAGGAATTGATGGGGAAGTGATCAACGAGCAGCAGGGGCACAGAGCAGCTTGAGACGTACCGAGGAACCTGGCGCCGTGGCTGCAGCAAGCGCACCAGGCGCAGTGGAGTGATGGTGGGCAGACACCGATCCAAGAGTGCATGCAGCTGAGCGGGCGGGAGGGCAGGATGGCGGGAGGGCAGGATGGCAGGAGGGCGGGATGGCAGGAGGGCGGTAGGGGTGGACAGCAGTCAGGAGAGGAGAAGGGGGTTTTGAAGTCGACTCAAAGGCTGCAGTAAGTGCAGCAGGCGCAGTGTACTGATCGTGGGCAGACACCCATCCAAGAGCGCATGCAGCTGAGCGGGCGGGAGGGGGAGAGAGCAGCCAGTTGCGGAGAAGGGGGGATCCAGGGGAAGATAAAAGTGTGTGGAGTTGGGCTAAAGGGGAGTAGCGGGACGTGGAGTTGGAACTTGGAAGCGGAAAGCAGAGAGTGAAGCGGTTGGGTTGGGTGAGGATGGGTGGTGGTGGTGGGAGTAAAAATCGAGACAGTGGTGGTAACAGCGGCACACAGAGATCAGCACGGATAAGAATGAGACGGATAGTAGACACAGCATGATGATGTGTGGCGTTGGGGATGTATGGCAATGCAATGGGGAGAGGAACTTCACAATGTTCAGCGCTGACTTTTGAGTCGACTCAAAGATGAGCACGGATAGGAATGAGATGGATAGTAGACACAGCATGATGATGTGAGGGGGTTGGGGATGAATGGCAACGCAAAGGGGAGAGGAACTTCGCAATGTTTAGCGGAGGTACAATGAATTACACTGGGGCGGTGGGGGCGCGATGGCAGGCACATGAGGTGCAATGCAATGCAGTGTAATACGGGGTTTATGCCTTTTGACAAGCAAAGCATGGGCCGTACAATGCGGGGGTTGGAGGCTGCTTGGCAGGTGATAGAGGCGCACAGCGAATCATCCCCACATGCTGCTACCACTTGAAGCGCCTGCGCACCATGCCATGCCGTGCCGTGCAAACCCACACAATCGCATGCCATGTTATGCAAGCATTGCCATCCCACAACATCCCACGCCATGCCATGCCGTGCAAAGTCCAGCCACACACGAGCAGAGTGGAACAAGGGCAACGCACACACATACAACTGAAAACCAAAGGCACAGGGGGCGAAACAGCATGAGCACATAATAAGGCCAGTAAGGAAACACAAAAAGCGAGGACAGGAATGTTTATAAGCGACTTGAGAAGAGGCAGAACGTGACTGCATGCTTTTTGAGACAGCCTGTCCATCTCCTCCAAGTTTTTCCCTCCACGCCTTTTGAGACAGCCTGTCTCTCAGAGCCGGCTCACCTTTTCAACGTCTTTTGAGGCGCCCCAAAATCCCTCCTCGCGGCGGCTCACCTTATCCACGTCCCCCAGGGAGTGCAGGCAGAGGGAGAGAGCAGCACGGTGATTGCCCATGCGCTGCTGCAGACGATTTCTGAGGCGCCTAGAAAACATACCCCTCAGGGCGGGTCCAAATAATTCATACTCTATTCATTTCGTGAAAAGTAACCCGATTTTAACCTCGTTTGGATTTCGCGAGGACGCGTGCGCGAAATTGACGTAACTCGGGACGCTCGACGCATGTGAATGCACATGATTTGTTTACGATTCGGTGACGTTAGGTTTACGTTTTGGTATCCGTGGACACGTGTGGCGCTTTGGGGTTTCGCCAAGCCAGGCTCGGCGAGAACAAGGCAACCTCGCGAACATCTCGAGTGGCGCAACGCCAAATCACACCTGCCACTTAACCCAGCACGAAACATCTGTTTCGCGAGCTGCGACATTCGGTAACTGCGATTTGGGGCGACATTTCGCAAACCGTTTTTTGGGACGCACCCAGTTGGCGCCAGCTTCTGTTTCATTCGCAATATGAGACGCGGTTTGGGGAGGAAACGATTTTGGGATCGTTTTCAGTTGTCATACCCGAGTTCGTAAAAACGTGTCCAAAACCCCCAATTGAACTATTTGGACCCGCCCTCAAGGGTTGAAAGAAGGCATGAGCTCACCTTATCCACGTCCCCCAGGGAGTGCAAGCAGAGGGAGAGAGCAGCTCGGTGGTTGCCCATGCGCTGCTGCAGCAGCACCATGGCGTGCTGCAGGCCCCGCTGCTGACACGCCCTGTACGCCTGGGAAGAGCGCGAGGGGGAGTGGATGGGGATGGGAAGGGGGATGGGGAGGGGGAGGGGAAATGGGGGTGGGGATGGGAGGGGGGAAGGGAAGCAAAGAATGATAGAGGAGAGGTGAGACGGGAGAGAGGGGTTGTGGGTGGGGTGGGAAAGGGCGGTGAGGGAGATAAAGGGCGGGGTAGTAAGAGGTGGGGTTGGTGGGTTGGGGAGGGCATGGTAGGGCGTGGGAGGCAGACGGTAGTTGGAAGGAAAGTGGAAGTGGAAGTGTTGGGCATCTGAGAGTTATAAGGTTGGTTTTAAGACGTCTCAAAACAGACGGTAGTTGGAAGGAAGAGGAAGTGTTGAGCATCCAAGTGTTCGCAGATCGAAACACGAGGTCACGTGCAGGCACGGAGATATTCTTTCATGCATGAGCGAAGAGAAGGGTGGTACTACAAGTATGGTGGTGTGCGGGAGACAGAGCGTGTATGCGGGGGTGCGGGGATGCGGGGGTGCGTGCATGGGTGGGTGTTGGTGCCATGGCTCACCGCATCGAGGGAGTAGAAAGAGCTGTGTTGCAGGAAGGTGAGAAGGAACGACGGCTCAAACTCAGCATACAGGTGTACCTGAGGAAGAGGCAGGGGTGGGGCGGAAGGGAATTGTGATGGACACACACGCGGCATGTGCTAGGCGCATCAGATCAGACCATAGCCCTGGGAATGTGTAAGAAGAACCCTCTCTGCATGCCTACATGCCTGCATGCTGCCAGAGCCATCACTCTGAACCTGCACGCTCTGCTTTTATCTGCCCTGTTCTGCTCTGTTCTGCTCTGCTCGACTCCCTCCCTCCCTCCCCCCCCCCCCCTACCTGCATGGTGTGCCATCGCCGGCCCGCAGAAGCATCTCTCACGAACACCAGGTGCAGGTACCGGAACATGAGGTGCCGCACACACACATCGCCCATGCCATGCACCGCTGCCCCCTCCAACTCCTCCCCCTCAGCTCCCAAATCTCCATCCTCCCCTCTCTCTCCTTCCTCGCCTTCCCCCCCCTCCTCTCCCTCCCTTCCCTCCTCTCCCTCCTCTCCCTCCACTCCCTGCTTTCCCGCACTCCCCTCGTTCCCAGCAGCCCCCTCCCATCCCTCCTCCTTCGCCTCCTCCCCAACCATTTGCAGCTGTAGCTGCAGCTTCCGAACTCTGCCCCTGCCACCTGCCCTGTGCGCGCCTGCTCCCATGCTCTCAGCAGCAGCAGCAACACCAGGTACAGCCTCGTATGTAGCACTAGGAGTATAATAACCCGCAGGAACAGAAACAGCAGCACCATCACCGGTTGCAGCAGCAGCAGGAGGAGGAGGAGGAGAGGGGGAATGTGTGGTTGTAGGGCGGGGAGAGGGAGAGGGGGGAGGGCAGCGGAGGGGGTCCAAGCGAGCGATGCAGTAGAGCACGTAGGAGGGCGGGAACAGCCGGACTCTGGCTGACACGAATGCAATGCATCTGGACGGATCTACTGCCAGGAGAAGAGGCAGCTGTGGTAAGGAGAGAAGATGGGAAAGAAGACGAAAACGTGAGTCGGGAAGGGGAGAGAGGTAGGGTGAGGGAGGTTGTTGGGGTAAAGTATAAGCCGACCTTGGGATGTGCAAGGAAATACGAGTGATTGATGTGTATGTGGCACATTCAAGGTGAAGCAGAGAGACGCAGGGATGTATGAGGCATGACATGGCATGGTGTGGCATGGCATGGCATGTACAGCATGGCATCGCATGGTGTGGAAAGGAATGGCATGGCACGGCATGGCATGCCATGGCACGGCATGGCATGGCATGGCATGGCATGGCATGGCATGGCATGGCATGGCACGGCATGGCATGGCACGGCATGGCATGGCATGGCATGGCATGGCACGGCATGGCACGGCATGGCATGGCATGGCACGGCATGGCATGGCATGGCATGGCATGGCATGGCATGGCATGGCATGGCACGGCATGGCATGGCACAGCATGGCATGGCATGGCATGGCATGGCATGGCACGGCATGGCACGGCATGGCACGGCATGGCACGGCATGGCACGGCATGGCACGGCATGGCACGGCATAGCATGGCATGGCATGGCATGGCACCTGAGGCTTGAGGCAGGGCAACAGCCGGGAAGCATGGGTGCGCATGAGGTCATACACGGCATCCACCCCCCTCACTGCACATGGGTTGGACTCCGCTAGGGCCGTCTGGGGGGCAGAGGAGAGGGGCACGCGGTGAAGGAGGGAACAGGAATATTGGGACGCCTCAAAAGTAATTTATTATCAAACTGTATGCATGAGGTCATACACGGCATCGACCTGCCCGCCTCACTGCACACGGATTGGACGCCGCAAGGGCTGTCTGGGGGGTAGAGGGGATGGAACGGATAAGAGGTGGGGGGAAGAGAATTCTCAAAAACACTCTGCAAAATCGAGGGGGGGGGCGAGAAGGAGTGAGGAGAGACACCAAATGGAGGGGAGAGAAATGATGAGGGAGCTGGCAGGTTGACGCATGTGACGAAATGAATGAGGCAGGAGAGGATATGGAGTGCAAGTGAGAAGAGGAGATGGCATAACGGTGTTGACTCGACAGGGCCAACTTCTGATGCTTTGGAGGAGAAGGGACGGGACGGGACGGGACCGGAGCGTACGAGGAGGTAGAAGCGCAGAGCCTCGGGGACATTGTTGTTCTTCAGAGAAAGCTCTGCCAAGGCCTGTGGCAGGAGGTTGGGGGGCGAGAGAGAGACAGAAGGAAGCGAGATGCATGTAAACAGAACGAGTGGGCCAAATGTGACGGGGGGGGGGCGGAGGAAAGGGGGGGGGGAGAAGCCTGGGGGAAGGAAGTTGTTCCAGAGGGGCAGACAGCAGAGGTATGTGTTTTGGACTGGCAAGCGCACAGCACAACACAACACAGCACAGGACAGGACAAGTGCATCATGATAGGCGTGAAGATACAGCCCAGGAAACCATAGCCCACTACAGTGAAGACCACGATGGACACTTTAAGGAACATAGCTATGTCTCAGTATAACCTTCCCCACCCAGCACCCTTTCCTCCTCCACCCTCCCCCCCCCTCCAATTCACCCTCTTCCCCCGATTCCCCGCTCCATGAACACCCACTCCGCCCTAGCAACACCTCGAGCAGGGGTGCGGAGGGCTGCATGGCGTGAGTGGGTTTGAGACAGACGCCTCTAAAATAGTTTGTCATCCACACTAGCATCACCTCGAGCAGCGGCGCAGAGGGGCATCCGTGTGCGGCGAGGGCAGCATGGCGCGCGTGGGCGCGGGTTATGAGGGAGGCGAGCGGCAGGATGAAGGGCGGCCACGACCGGATGACGGACAGGAAGAGCGGGTGGTCTGAGGGGTCCGGGAGGAACGAGCACAGCACCATCTGTTGGCGGGGCAGAAGAAGGGCGGGGAGGGGTGGGGGAGGGAGAGGGGTTGGAAGGGGTGAGGATGGAATGGGGGGCCACTAGAGTTCTTAAAAGCCACATGGAGGGTGGCCAGGCGCGGATGATGGACAGGAAGAGCAGGTGGTCCGAGGGGTCCGGGAGGAACAAGCACAGCACCATCTGTTGGCGCGAGGGGATGAGGGGGGAGGAGGGAGATGAGGGGGAGGGGGAGGGGAGGGGGAGGGGCGATGAGGGGAAGTTGGGTTTTGATGGCAATTGGAAGGGCAAAAGGCAGCTGGGCTGGGGGAGCGAATGGAGGGGCAGAATGGAAGGGAAAGAAGAGGCAGCTAAAGCAGAAGAGCAGCATCCTAGTGGAACGATACCCCAGCCCGGTGGATGCATTAGCGCACTCGGCACGACTTGGCATGACGTGCCATGACTTGGCATGACGTGCCATGACTTGGCATGACGTGCCATGACTTGGCAACTAAGTTGCACTAAACACTCAGAATACGCAGCGTATGGCGTATATACGCTATACGCTATACGAGCATATAAACGCCATACGCTCGGCTGAAATTTCGGGGGCAGCCCGTCGGGAAAAAAAAATCGATCGCCACATCCCGACGTGGCGAAGCCAGCCACACTATCGCGAAATGTCGAGACCCGAATTTTTTGCCCAAATCCAACTCCCAACCAATCTGCCCCCCCCAACCGCACTGCATCCCGAGGCATCTACCTAACCCAACCAAACGTCAAATGTGCTCTGTCTACCTCTACCACCGAACGCGCTGAACCTAAAACAGATTGCATAACTTACCAGCCGAATTAGGCGGTAGACTAAGCTAGAATCTTAGCTTATGGAGCGCCACGTCACCTCGTTGTTTAGGCAGCACCATGTCGACATGGATGAAACCTTGACATGGCGGTTATTTATGCCTTAAAGGCTTAACTATGTTCTCTGGTTCATGCTGCTATGAAAAACTATGGCCCGCACCACATTCCCCCTTTCCCCCCTCCCAATACATGGTTTTTTTCCCTGCCCGGAGAATTTTTTTCGCCTGCCCGGACAAGCGTATACCTAGCGTATACGTGGCCCCAAAAAAGCGTATAGCGTGTATACGCTAACGTTTATACGCTAGCGTATCAAACGCCATACGCGTTTAGTGCAACTTAGCTTGGCAAAGGAGAGCATCTGACCTCGTAGACTGTAGGGGCGAGTTGGGGGTCTTCAAATGGTATGTGCGGCAGCAGCACAGGCAGCTGGTGCGCCTGGGCGAAACACACCACCCACCTGATGGGGAAGGGAGAGTGAGGGGGGCGGGAATAGATTTGGGAAAGGAGTGTGGTGCCAGCAGTAGGTGCACGCAAGAGAAAGTAGGGAGCGGGGTGGTGATGACGAGATGATATGGAAAATACTTTCTGCAGGAGGGATAAATCAAGCAGAGAACGAGAAACAGGGGGTGCGCGGACAAACGCCTACAGCTTCCTTTCGCCCTCTAACTATCATCAATCCAATCCAAGCATGCTCTTTCATCTAAGTCCCTCCAGGCTCCAGCCCAAGCAATCCTTTAAGCTCCCTCTCTTTTCCCCCCCACCCCACCCCACCCCCCACACATACCCTTCCCCACGCACAGCATGCGCTCACCTCTCCCACGCAGCAGCGTGCGAGCGTAGCAGCTTGGGGCAGAGAGCCGCGGCCTGGTGGTACCTGCGCTGCGCCACCAGGTGCTCCAGGTACTGCTGCCCCACCTGGTGAGGTGGAGGATGCACACCGTGATGACATGCATGGGATACACGAGGGGAGTGGGGGGCCTTCTGAGTGCAGGCAATTCAATTCAACCGGCACCAGGTGATCCCGAGTCCTGGCACAGCTGCCCCACCGGGAAGGCGCGCGTGTCGTGATAGGGAACACCATGGGGTGTTATGGGTTGTGCAAGGGACGAGGACGGGGCACAACGAGGGGAGTTCGGTTGGGAGTGGGGGGAGGAGAGGGGGCGACTATGTTGAGTCGAGTCTAACGACACCAGGTCCACCAGTTTCTGCTGCCACACCTGGTGTGGGGGGATGCACACCACACCGGTATATGGAAGAGAGACACAAGGGCTGAGGGCCAAGGTGGGCAACAGGCCACCTCGCACTGGGAACACCGCAACAACCACCACTGGAACTACCTCCCCCGATCGCTCCCACCCACCCCCCACCCCTACTGTGCCAAACCAAACGTTCCCAACCCCCTTGGTGCCAGCCGCCAAGTGCATCTGTCAGCCTCCAAGTGCATATGCCAGCCTCCAAGTGCATCTGCCAGCCTCCAAGTGCATCTGCCAGCCTCCAAGTGCATCTGCCAGCCTCCAGTGCATCTGCCAGTCCCCAAGTGCATCTGCCAGCCCCCTCCCGTCCCCACCTCTGAAAGCAGCTCCAGGGTGATTCCTGCCAGGGTGCTTCCCTCCACCCCTGCACCACCACCAATACAAGCAGCAGCACCACCACCACCAGCACCAGCTCCAGAACCACCAGCAGCAGCAGCAACAACAGAGTCTATGCTGCTGCTGGGCGCTTGCTGTGGAGCAGCCTGAGTCGCATCCCGCTCCCTCCTCCTTGGACTGCTAACACCTGCGGCGCCTGGAGCAGCAGTAGCACCAGCAGCAGCGGCTGCGGCAGCGGCAGCAGGAGGTGGGGTGAGAGCAGTCGCAGTGGCAGCAGCAGCAGCAAGGCCTGTGGCTTCAAGAGCAGCGTGGATGCGGCCTTGCGACAGCAGCCATTGCACATGGTCCTGTGCATCCCTGGCAGATGAGGGCGAGAGGGAAACAGGGGGGCAGTGGGAGGGAGGGGAAGGGGGAAGGGCGAAGGAGGGAAAGGGGCGGGGAAGGGGGGGGGTTGGTTATTGTGAGCACAAGGGCGAGAGAGCAAGCGAGAAAGTGAGAGGAAGGATGAATAAGCGGGTGAAGGGGGAGGGGGGGGGCGGCCATGGGAGAGCACCAGGGAACAGAAGGGCATGGTTTCTGAAAAATCCATAAAGCAGTGTGTTTCAATACGTAGATTTTTTAGGCGCCTCGAAAATAGAATTCCATAAAGCGGCGTGTTTCAATCTAAGTGGGCAAATTCGTTGGGTTCCCCCATCGTTTTGCGTAAATTCGTAAGCGTAAATTCGCGTTTGCGAATTTACCTGAAATTTGCGAAACGCTGGGGGAAAATTTTCCGGGCAGCCCGGACAAAAAAACACGAATTTTCCCGCTCGATTCCCAACGACTTGGCGAAGCCATCCGTGGCCTCGCCAATTCGCGATTCTAACTTTTGAACCTCCAAACATGCTCCCAACCCCTCCCACGCTCCCAACCGCATCAAACCCCACCGCATCTAGATAACCCAACCCATCCACCACCCAACACAACTTACGCAACTATATCACACATCTCACACGCTACTCTACCAGACGTAGAGTAGATCTAGCTAATCACTCTGCGTCATAGCTAGTAGACCTAGTTTAAGCATAGACATTAGCTTACCTCATGAGTATGGTTCATCATGTTGCTGTAGGTTGCTGCAGCCTGCAGGGCTGTTGCTGCGAAGGATACCCCCCAAACTCTAGAACATGCTATTGCCATAAACTTTGAGAAGCAACAATTATTTTGTGCTATAACTTTCATGCTTAAGAAGAGTTGCCCTGAAACCCCCCACGCCCCCCCTACCTGGGAACTTTTTTTTGGGACTGCCCGGGCTTTTTTTTCCTGCCCGGGCGGAACGAATTTCCCAACGAATTCAAAACAGGGCCCTGTCGTTCGGGCGAATTTACGCCAGAGTAAATTCGTTAGCGAATTTATGCAAAACGCGAATTTTCCCACTTAGGTTTCAATGAGTAGCCAGACAACGGCAACAGCGCAGAAAGTGAGGGGGCGCCGGCAGGAGGGTCTGACCTGGGACGGGCGAGTACCACGTCGCGTGGGCTGAGGAGAACGAAACAGGGTTGCCACTGATTGCCCTCTGCCGCTGCTGCTCCTGCTCCTGCTGCTGCTGCTGCTGCAAACATAGCAGGTGCAAGTGAAGCTGCAGCGGTGGCAGTGTGCGCAGCAGAATTAGTAGCCGCAGCAGCGCTGATGGCAGGAGGGAGAGCTGCAGAGGCTGGTGGGAGGATTTGGAAGGGCGTGATAGTGGGGGGATGAGGGGTAAGGGGGTGGAGTCAGAGGTGTGTATGTGTGCGTGCGTGTATCTGCTTGTTCAATGACAAGAACCTTCTTGAAGGGGAGTGGGGGGTGGGGGGTGGGGAGCAAGGAATTGGAAAGAGATAGAGAGGAAGAAGGAGAGGAAGAAGGAGAGGGAGAGCCTATCACAGAGAGGAGAGTGAGCAAGATAGTAGTCTGCTGCCTGCAGCCGCTCGTTTTGAAACGTCTCAAAACGGAAATACTGACACACAGAGAGGATGGATGAGGGAGAGGCAGATGGAGAGGGAGAAGAGCCCACCGCAGAGGGGAGAGTGCGCAAGGTAGTAATCTGCTGCCTGCAGCCGTTCGAAGCCTCTGAGCGAGAGAATGTCAGATGATAACTCGTGGTTCTTCAACGACACTAGCCGCACCTCAGGCCGGAGAGCCTGAACGGGAGATGTGAAAAGGAGATGGGGAGGAGTGGTGGTGAAGGAGAGGGGGAGGAAAGTGAGAAAATGGTGGGGGAAATGAGAGGACAACAGGACCAAGGATTCCAGGAGATGGAAAAGAGAGACACACAGAAGGCGGGTTGTTTTTCCACATCAAAGTCTTGTTATCCGGTGTTAATGCACCCACACACCAAGACCCAGACCCATGCCCATGCCCATGCCCACACCCTCGAGAGAGCCATACCAGGGTGAGCGGCCCCTCGCCTGCACTGGGCACGGCCACAGCATCATTCAGCGCCGTGCCCCCGGCTGCCACTGCCGCCAGCGCTGCTGCTGCTGCTGCTGCTGCTGCTGACCCTGTCGGTGAGTCCGGAAGCAAAGCAGGGGCTGCTGCTGTTGCAGAGGCTGGTTCCTGGCTGCCGGTTCCATTGCTGCCACTACCACCACTGCCACCACTAGTAGTGGCACTTGCAGTAGTAACTCCAGGTGCAGGCGGTACTACGGGCACTGCAGCAGGTGCGACTGTTGCTGCTGGGGACGACGACGAGGTGGTTGGAGCTGGAGGCGCGGCCGCCAAAGGGGAGGAGAGAGTGGGGGGAGTGAGAGGGGAGGAGAGAGAATGGTGCGACGGGGAGCGAGACCCCGAGAGAGGAGAGGAAGCAAGCAGCCCAGCAGCAGCAGCCGGGAGCGAGAGGTGGCCGCTAGAGAGAAGCTGATGGGTGGGGGGGGTGGAGGGGGAGCGCGCACTGACGCTGTTGCAGCTGCTGCTGCTGCTGCTGCTGCTGCAGGAGCTGGCGCTTCTGGATCCAGCAAAGAAGGAGGACGGCATGAGATAGGCGAGCACGAGGAGCAGGTCCCCATAGGGCGCTATGCCGGAGATTAAATAGTCGACTTTTAGGACTGAGACGATCTCCATGTAGCGGGACAGGGAGGAGGAGGAGGAGGTGGTGGTGGTAGGGGGGGGGGGGTCGGTCCTGGAGCGGATGACCGCTACTTTGATGGTGTCAGCCCAGCCGATTATCAGTGTGCAGTCATCCTGTGGAAGGGACGGATCGGGAGATTGAAAAGAACCATGGGGAGAATAGAGAGAGGGGGAGATGAGGATAAGAGAGGGAGAGAAAGAGATACAGCGACGAAAAACGGAAAGAGAGAAAGAGCAACGAGAATGGGAGGAGGAAGAGACAAGGCAAGCAGGAAGGCGAAGGGATAACAGCACTCGAGAAGAAGCCAGGGAGCGGGGAGCTCGGAGCACGGAGCACGGAGCATGGAGCATGGAGCATGGAGCAGGGAGCATGGAGCAGGGAGCAGGGAGCAGGGAGCTGGGAGCAGGGAGCAGGGAGCAGGGAGCAGGGAGCACAGACCCGCCAGAAGAGGTGTGGTGGCAGCACAGAAGGGCTGGGGCTGCCGCGGGGCCTCTCCACAAACGCCAGGCGTGCGGAGGAGGCGACACAGTAGACCTTGACGCCCCTGTCGTTGGCCCACGCCAGGTACGTGCCGCGCCACCGCACACCCGTGATGGCGCCCTCGCCCGTGTGTAACACCTGGCACCAAGGGATGAGGAGCAGAAGGGTAATCATTGAGGCGCCTAAAAGTTATAGGCCCCTATCGTTAGTCCATGCCAGGTACATGCCGTGCTACCGCACACTCGTGATGGCGCCCTCGCCCGTATGCAGGACCTAGAGGCCCGAAGGGGTGAGGGGGAGTCGGGGACGAGAGGGGGTATTTCTTTAGAATTTTCAAAAAGGTGGCACAATGGGGTGAGGGGAGGAGATTGTTTGAGGGAAGGGAGAGTGAGCGTGAGCGGAAAGAAAGGTGGGGGACGAACGAACCAGGCACGAAGTGGGATGACCTACTAACAAGGCATGCATGCATGTATGCATGCTTGCTTCCCACTCTCTCACAACAATGACAACTCTCTCTCTCTCTCGCGCCCTGCCTGTACTGCTCTGCTCTGCTCGAATGCAATCGCAACCGCTCGTTCCAAAACATATCTAAATCGCGGCACAATCGCTGTCTCTCCTCCCCACTCCCCGTTCCCCCCTCACCCCTACCCCTCCCCCTCCCCCTCCCCCTCCCCCTCCCCCTCCCCCTCCCCCTCCCCCTCCCCCTCCCCATACGCACCTGATCCGTCGCCCCCAGCCACCCCCTCGTGCTCAATATAAGCTCCCCGGCCACTCCGCCCGTGGCGAACTGGCGGGTGCGCCACACGGGGCCGAACCCCGGGTCCAGCGCAAGGGACCTCAGCGGACGGTGGTACTCAAACCGCTCTAGGGTATCCACCACAGAGGATGCAGCAGCGGAGGCGGAGGAGGCGAGTGGGGGCGGCGGGGGGGGTGAGGCGAAGGCGGAGGAGAAAGAGGAGGTGGAGGAGGAGGAGGGGGGGGAGGGGGGGTGGTGAGGTGGGGAGGGAGGTTGAGGGAGCGGATGACCACGGTACCGTCGTCAGAGCAGGTGGCGAGGTGCGCAGTTGTGGCGTCAAAGACGGCGTCAGTCACCGCTCCCACGTGCGGGTCGTACGTCTTCACCTGGAGGGGGTGAGTGAGAGAGTAGAGGACAAGGAATGGGACGGAGGGGGAATTTGACTTGACTCAAAAGTGGCGCCCACGTGTGGATTGTATGTCTTCGCCTGGAGGGGGCGAGTGAGAGCATAGTGGGCGGGCAAGGAAGAGACGGCGGGAAGCGCTGCGTGAGAGGGAAACCAGAGAAACGAAGGGAGTGCGTACGGGAGAGTGGGCAGACGACCTGGGGGTTGATTGAAGGTCGGGAGGTGGGAGCAGGGGGGGGGGGGGGGAGGGGGCGAGGTGGGGGTGGGGGTGTTTGCGGGGCTTGTGGCGGGTTGGGGGAGGGCAGGGAGAGCAGGGAGGGAGAGCAGTGAGTGATAGGCGACTGACCTGTCGTCCGTGGTGGTCCACGATGTGCAGCGTGCCTTCGGTGGTGCCGAGCGCAATCAGCCCGTGGGCTGACAGCGCGACGCAAGTGGGGATGGCGGTCTTGAGCACGTCGCTGACATCGCCCTCCATGCGCTCGTACTTGAGCAGAGGCTCCACATCGCCCTCCCCGTCCGAGCACCCCTCCATGGCTCCCTCTGTCAGCTCATCCGTGCTGTCCCCCGCCCCCAACCCGTCGTGGCCGAGTGAGTCCAGTGAGTCAACATGCGCCATGTCCTCATTATCCGCATCTCCATCTGTGTCCAGGTCTATGCGTGAGTCGTCATACCCTCCCTCCACCTCATCCTCCTCCTCATTCTCCTCCTCCTCCCCTTCCTCGTGCTCTTCCTCCTCTTCCTCCTCCTCCTCTTCCTCGCCCTTCCTTTTCCTCTCTTCTTCTCCACCCGCATCCCTCTCCCTTTCCTCCCCTGCATCTCCTTCTCCCCTACGCTGTTCCGCCTCGGCCTTACCCTCCTCTAGCAGGGAGCTTCCCCCCACTCCACGCCCCTTCAACTGCACGCCGGACTCTGCTGATGTAGCCGCACCTGCAGCGGCCACAGCCGCTGTATCTGATGCTCCTGCTGCCAGTTCACTAGCAGGGGTAGCAGAAGCAGCAACAGCAGAATATTGCAATGCCCCACCCAGCAGGGGCGGCAAGGGAATGGAGAGTGGGAGTGACGGCAGCGATGACGACGACAGAGCGGCGAATGACGTCACTCCTAGACTCGCCCTGCCGCTACCGCTGCTCAAAACAGCAGCAGAAGCAGCAGCAGCAGCAGCAGCAGCAGCAGCGGCGGCGGCGGTGGCACCAGGGCCATCAGCAGCAGCACTGACAGTGCTAGCAGCCGCAGTGGCAACACCAGCGGCAGAGGCGGAAGCGGAAGAAACAGAAGACGACATCTCCGCACTACTAGTAGGCCCCACCGCCCTTTCTTGCAGGAAAGCACCCTCCCCTCGGCCCTCATCACCTCCCATCCGCCTCTCATTACCACCATTACCAGAAGAGGACATCTCCTTGCCTACCCATACAGGAGCGGGGGGGAGGCGCCATCTCCTTCCCCCCACCGTTCGCGCAAACACAATCGCATCCTTCCGAATCAGCCCACTCCCCGCAGCACCCACCACCCCCCTCCCTTTCCGCTTCCCAATCCCCATCGCAATCCCGACACTGAGGCCCGTCAAGTCTAGCACCCAACCCTCTCGCGCTCCGTTCTCGCTCTCAACGGAAGCCGTCCGGTCGCCCTTGCTCCTCCCTCTGCCGCGCGCTCCCCGGCCTCTGCCCTTCCTGCCGCCGCCTCTACCTCCGTTTCTCGCCTTATTCCCTGCGGCTGCTAGCCCTTCTGCATGCCTCGTCCTTCCGCCTTGATCCGCTTCCGCACCGGAAGGTACCGCACTGAACTCCCTACTCCGCACTCTACTACCACGCCCAGCGGCATTACCCGCCTTCCCTTTCGCTTTCCCGCCACCAGCGGCATAACCGGTCCCCGCATTGCCGTCTTCGGAAACCCTCAGATTAGAGTGGAAGCTTCGCGGTATTTGCAGCTGCCCGGGTGCTACGACGGCCCTTCTGCTGGAGGCCACAGGACCGGCAGACGCTGACGTCACAGCGGCGTCAGCTTTACTACAATCGGTGGCAGCGGCTGATGCTGCTGCGGCTGCTGTTACTGTAACTGGGGTTGCCATTGCTTCCGACGGCGCTTCTGCCGTCGGTATTCTGGCCTCCCCTGGCGCGCAGGAGACTTGGCTTCTCCCCAACGGCTCCCGCAAAACTGCTCCGTCATTTCCGCTGCTGCTGTTGCCGCTGCTGCTATTATTCCCGTCAACATTGCTGCGTCCATCGTCGTCGGTTCTAGGATTACCAGCCCCGCTTGTGGAACGCTCACCTCTCCTGTTAGCCCACTCCATTCAAGCTCAGACCAGCCAAGGGCTTTCATTTATTTTCAGTGAATTGGTATGATCGCCAGGCGTGACGACCTAGGTCTTTCATCGGGTACAGTACTGCTGACATGACATTGAACCAGGTCAGGAGGAGGTGCAGGTGTTCAGAGAACCCCATGGAGGAGACGGTACTGTACACTATGCGGTGTTCTAGCGTTCTATACCATGCAACGGCATCAGCAGGAGCCAACTTGAAACGAGGTATGTGATGTTTTCCGTGAGATCATCTCCTGGCATGGTGGAGGCGGAGAAGGAAGCGAAGAAATAGAAATGTTTCAGTTCGTGGCAGTGCAGTGCGATGCAGTACGGTACGGTGCAGTGCAGTACAATGATAGTCTCGTCAAAGCAAGCATTCTGACCTGGAAAAGAGGATGGAATGTGGATTGGCGAAGTCGTGCGTGCCCGCCAACTGCCAACTGGCTCGGCGAAGTCGTGCGATGCTTACAGAAACTGCCGCTGCGAGGCAATAGTGGATGCCGCCAATTTCGCTAGCTTTCGGGTCGCCCGTGCAGGTGGTTGGAACCAGGAAGGGAAGAACGGAGAGTGGTTGGCGTGTGGAAAAGTTTTTGCCCTCTGTAAAAGGCAGCACCCACGCTCAGATATCCGCAGGTATTTTGTGCAACCTGGCCATGGCTGCCCGAAGCAACCTGACCGCAATTCCACCATGACTCGCCAAGCAAGTCTTTGTTTGTCAAACAATGTTGAAGATCCCTACATCATAAATAGGGAAAAAAGTACCCAATATATCACCATGGTCCTCTTATTTTACATCCTATCTAGTTTCTTAGGTACTAAAAAGTCAAATTAATTTTCTTCACAATTTTTAATTGAATTATGCAGCACATAAATTTAAAATGCGCAAAATTCCATGCGTTTTACATTTTCTTAAGAGTAACCTGTTATTTTGTAGAGGGGTTGTGTTAATCGGCTGTTCTTGTATCTTGAATTCCTATACATGTCCAAAATGTGCTCAATAACCTATTTTAATTGAATTTTCTATAACAAGTTTGGCTTCTATGCACCAAATGCTAACTTCTAGAGAAAATATTTATAAGCTATAGCAAGGCCGCGTTGTGTCTCTGGTTTCATGACGACTGTTACCTGAATTCGCACAATCGTTCGTCGTTTTGCCACAACTTCTGCGATACCTCAAGTTCCCTCCCCCCCTGAAGAGCATTCTGACGTGGAACGAGGGTGATTACGCTGATGATGGGAACCAGTCAAACGCCTCGGGACCAGCGAATGGGGATAGCCAGCGTGGACAAGAACCAGGAAGATTGGGTTTCTTACGGATTCGGATAACGTGTCGCTCAGAATCTCGCTCTGTTTGGGTCACGGCTCTCCGTGTCACAGCCTCAGCTTTACAATAACCACCCCATTTCCTCCCTTCCAGCACAACCGACTCTCTTCAGTTCCTCTAGCACACTCGCAGCTTGACACGGTCATCTCACAACTTGTAGCCATGGCCACCGTCGCTGCTGTCTCGTGCGCCTCTGCCGCCACCTGCTTCGTGCAGAAGTCTGTCTCCTCGAAGCAGCTTTCCGGCCGTGCTGCTGGTACGCACCGTTCTCTTGCCATGGTGTAATTTTCGCGCTCAATTAGTGCTTCGATATCAGCGTTGTATTTGTTGTATCAGAAGTTCATTGGAATGTTGTTCGATCTGTTTTGCAGGTCTCCCTGCTCTCCGCATGTCCCGGGTGACCTGCTCTGCTGAGAGGAAGGAGAGGAAGGCTGTCCTGTCTGCGGCTACCATCGCTGCCTCTGCCTCTGCTGCCCTTCCTTCCCTGGCTGTCGTTGAGGAGATCCTCGGTGGCGATGGCACTGGTCTCCCCCTTGGTCTGAACGACGCCTCCCTGACCTGGGTTCTCCTCGGTGTCTTCACCGCAATCTGGGGTGCTTTCTACCTGTATGCCTCGTCGCTCCCCAAGACCGATGATGACTCTGGCCTTGGCTTGTAAGCCAAGTATTTCAATATAAGCCAGTGGGCGGCTAAATACGCTGTAACTCGCACCAAATTAGTTTTGTCATATAATTTCGTGTAACGCTGGACATTTTGGACACAGCATGCGTTCAGTGAACGTAGTGGACTCCTGCTATTTACAGTCATGCAATATATTCCTAACGTCAGTTCGACCAGGACGCATGGAACTTACCAGGAGCCTGCAATAATTGGATTGTGGATACGCGGGCTCAGTTCTCCAGCATTTGACGTTGACGTCAAGTTGACATTGAGGTAGCACCTCAAGTGAAGAATACTGGATACTACCCAACGCAAATACACTTTTCCAACCTCGCTAGATAACGACACCTCCAAATTGTGGAAAGTGCAAGCGGAAGGAAGAAACAAATTTCGAAATTGGGGAACAAAAACCTGCTTCCCCTGGGCAGCTGAAAAACATTCCGGGGCAAAATGACGAAAAGAGAATCTAGGGTTTGTTGAGATGCCCTCACACCCCCACGGAGTAGGTCTAATGAGTGGTGCTGTTGGAGGTGATACGACTCTCTTTGGCAATGTTTGTCCCGCTGCTGTTTTTTTGCAGGGCAGGCCCAAGTTCTTGAGGTGGGGTAAAGTGGTGGTGGTTGTATTTTTGGGGTGTGGAGGCCTAGCACACCCTTGCGGTTGATGTAACGCCACACGCAAGGTGGACTACGCGATTGAGCGAACGTCAGCGTTGCGTCAAGTTTGCGTCAATTTTGCTAGGGAGGGAAGCGAGGGGGGGTGTTTCCTGTTAAATTATATTCATTATATAAGTGTAAGCTTGGTAGATGTTACTGAACATTACTGTAGATGGTACAACAGCCCTCCTTGTATCCCTCTCTCTTCTTTCCTAGTCCTCTTAGACCTAGATCTCACGCCATATTCATGGCTTCACCTATTCTTACCTAGCCTAACTTCACAACATGGTTTCAGAGCAGGACGCCCTTCCCGGGCCTGCTCTCCACGCTCCACGCTTCCGCCGCCCGACTTAACGACATTTACCTGACGTAAATGTCATCTGTAGATGGACATGTTCTGCAGGCATGTCGATGTAACTAGGTTCAGGTACCGTGTGCCATGTTTGGGTGAAATTTTGCGGGCTGACCCTCGATCCGAAGCAAAACATCTCGCTTTCAGAAGGTGCTCTGATGTAATCGGCACTTTCCTTTTTTGCCTGCAGAACGCAGCCTTGGTTTGTACAATGTCGTGCTTCCATAATAGCTCTAGTTGCCGTTCTCCGAAACCTCGGTTCACCAGTACCGTGTTATCCTACGTCCCGCTGTCGCCATGCTGACAATCCAATGCAACGTAGACGAATAGAACATTGAAATTACTGCTATTGAATGTTGAGTGACCCGCTGGGGTTGCCCTTGAGATCCTCGGGGAAGGGCCACAGGTGCAGAGCCTGGGGGGCTATGGGCGCACTTACCCGCTATTCAGAAGCCCTTTTAACCCAGTGGTTAGTGGCTGGGTTTCTGACATGGTATCAGAGCAGTTCGTTCCGCGTGGGCCTGCTCCTCGCGTTTCCGCTGCGTGCTCGTTTCTCTCTCTATCTCGCGCTGCCATGGCGGCCGCGTCAAGCTGCTGTGGCCGCGTCGTCGTGCCGCGGCGCCGCCGTCGACGTCCATGGCGCCCGCGTCCAGCTGCTGTGGCCGCGCCGTCGTGCCGCAGCTCCGCCGTCGCGTCAAGATGCTGTCGCGACGTGACGGCGCCGTCACGCTGCCGCGGCGTCTACGCGACAGCGCGCGGTCGGCGTAACGGCGACGTCGTGCTGCCGTCGCAACGTCGACGCCCCGCTGCGGCATCGACGCCGCTCCATGACGGCGTCGTCGGGCTGCAGCCGGCCGCGTGACGCTTGTGGCGCCGCTAGACCGGCCGCCCGCATGTCAGCCTGTGGCGCCCCCCCCCCCCCCCCACCCCCCTCCTTCCCTTGTGCCCTCTTCCATTCCGCAGACGACGGCTGACTCCCGCCGGCCGTCCCACCGTCGCGGGGCCTGGCCACGTCACCGAGAGGTGCGGGTGCCGCCGCCGCTGCCGCTGTTGTCGAAGCCGCCGCCGCCGCCGCTGTCGCCGCTTGCGTCGGGGCCACGCAGCCGCACGCCGCCGCCACCGCCGCTGTCGACACTGCCGCCGCTGCCGCCGTCGCCGCCGCAGCCCCTGCGGTCGACGTCGCCGCCTCACGCGCCGTGGGGTCGACCGACCTAGAGTCGCTGTCACTGTGGCTGGAATGGGGGTGCTAGGTTAGGGGGTGTGGGTGTGTGTGTGCATGTGACTACCAAGCCTAGGGGGTGTGTTCAAATTATATAAGTTATAATTTAATATAGGCTTGGTAGGTTGTTACTGAACCTTTCTGTAGGGGGTACAAACCCCTCCTTGTACTCCCCTCTCTTCTAATCCAACCCCTTTTCTCTTCTCAACTTTCCTAGCACCTAAAACCTCTCGCCATTCTCATGGCTCCTCCTAGCTCCTAGCTAAACCTTGTGCCATTCTATGGCTTCCTAGCTAAGCTAGTTTCTGACATGGTATCAGAGCCAAAGGTCTTGGGTTCAACTCCCGTGCCCAGCGCTGCAGAGGCGCTCGTGTCTTCCACCTATCCCAGCGGGGGGGGGGGGTTTGAGTGACCCGCTGGGGTTGCCCTTGAGATCCTCGGGGAAGGGCCACAGGTGCAGAGCCTGGGGGGCTATGGGCGCACTTACCCGCTATTCAGAAGCCCTTTTAACCCAGTGGTTAGTGGCTGGGTTTCTGACATTGAAAACCATTTTGTAAAGGATGGTAGAAAGAGAGTGATCAGTCGGATTTCTCAAGTTTCAGTGAAAGGAAATATTGTAGTCCTCCAAAGAACTGTGTAGTGGTTGGAGGACACTCTTAACTTTTACCCTAGCTGCGTCATGGAGTACAAATGTGATTGTAGCATTTTAAACAACCATCCGCTGGTACCCAAAGCAGTGCCAACCGTTCAGGATACCAGTTGCACCTGTTAACGTGAGAAGGACTGATAACTAGAGGTGGAAACCTAGAACAAATACTAGTTGGTTGTACTCACTATAAGCATACCTCAGTCTAGCCTATAACTTCTACATAGCTAATATGTATAAGTTGACACACCCCCTAGGCTAGACAAGGGGTGAAACTAAACAAGAAGCAAACATCTCAGGGCGGCACTACTAGTCCAACCACTGAGGCAGGGGTCTATAGACCAGTCAGCAAGAATACAACCAAAACTAAAGCAAACCAGGGTGGCACTACTAGTCCAGCCTCTTGAGGTAAGACCACAAGGCCAGTCTGATAGGCATATATAATCGAGAGTACACAATCAGGATCCTAACAGGGGAGCAGCTACAGGAACAAGACCAAGCTGTACAGAGTGCCGCTGATGATCTTTAGGCGCAAGCGCCTTAGTGAAGATATCAGCTGTGTTGGCACCAGAGGCCAAGTGAACTACGCAGGCCTGGCGGCGCTGCTGTAGCTCGCGCAGGAGGAAGTACCGCAGCTGGATATGCTTCGCTCTGCCCTCAAGCCGAGGCTCCTGACGCAGGAGTATCATGGCCCTGTTGTCAGCGTACAAGACCGGGGCAGAGCTAGGCCGCTCACCTGAGTCAGTGAACAAGAAGGTCAGCCAGCGAAGCTCCTGTGCCGCCAAGGCACCAGCGTGGATCTCAGCCTCACAGCTAGACTGAGCCACAGACGACGAGCGAGTGGATCTCCAAGAGATAGCACCCGAACCAAGGCTGAAACAGTAGCCCTGCGACGACCTGAGCGTCTCAGCGTCGTCTGCCCAAGAAGCGTCTGTGTGCCCAGTAAGGACCACTAGCCTGCGTCCTCCTAACACCAACCCCATGTCCGATGTACTAGCAAGATAACGCAAAACCCTCTTAGCGGCAGACCAGTGCTGAGGTCGGTGTCTGCCTGTGGCCACAAAGCGACCCAGGATGCTGAGAGGGTATGCAAGATGTGGGCGAGTGCAAGTCATCAGGTACATGAGGCAACCCACCAGCTCTCCGTAGGGGCCACTAGGCTCTACTGGCTCCTCAGGAACGGGAGCAGAGAGCCCATGGTCTACGGGTAGAGGTGTGGGCTGTGCGGAGGAGAACTGAAGACCGAACCTCTGAAGGACCTGACGCACCAAGTGTAACTGGGTCAGAGTGATGGTGCGTGCTGCTCTGGCCCTAGAGATCTGAAGGCCAAGATAGAGACGCAGCTCTCCAAGGTCAGTGCATGTGTGTCTCTTCAGCAGCTCAGCCTTCACAGAGGCCAGTGCGTCCCTGTCAGGAATAGCGAAGACCAGGTCGTCTACGTACACAAGGATGTAGAACGGAGTCTGGCCGGAACGCACAAACAGTGAAGGGTCAGCAGAGGACGGAAAGAACTGCAGGTCTGCTAACGTGGCACGTAGCGTGTCGTGCCACTCGCGGGGAGCCTGACGCAGGCCGTAGACCGGGCGCCTGAGAAGCCACTGGGTCCCAGGAGGGAAGGTACCAGTGAAGCCCTGTGGTCGGCGCTGGTAGACCTGCTCGTGTAGGCTGCCCTGAAGAAAGGCAGTAGAGAAGTCGAGGGAGTGAAGCTCGTAGTCACGCTGTGCTGCTACGTATAGCAGCGCTCGAAGAGTGGTCATCTTCGGGGTCGGGGCGAAGGTCTGGAAGAAATCAACCCCCTCGCGCTGACTGAAACCTCTGACCACGTAGCGCGCCTTGAAGACAGGCGGCTCTCCAGGGGGGCGCTTCACCTTGAAGAGCCACCGACCATCGACTACGTTCACCCCAGGCGGGGGAACTGCGTCGACGTAAGTGCCGGTGGACCTCCAAGATGCCATCTCCGGCTCCATGGCAGCTATCCACTGAGAGGCCCAAGGTCCCGAGGTGGCCTCAGCGTAGGTGCGAGGGGTCGGGATGTCGAAGGAGTCTGGGTCACCCTAATGGACTAACAGCATAGAGCAGAGATGGGGAGCAGCCTCGAAAAGGAAAGCAAGCTCGTACTGCCTGTCCTCTAGGACGTCACTGCCAAGGGCAGGAGCACCCCCGACGGACGGAGGACGGGCAGGGTCAGAGACCAGAGCGGTAGCGTAGTCAAGGCGGCGGGTAGAGGCGAAGTCAGCGACAGCAGCGACAAGCGTGTCAATGCGCGAGAGAGGAACAGCGGTGTCGGTAACAACTGAGGCAAGGACCCGAGGGACAAGGGGACGAGCACCACGGAGGTAGTCAGAGAACGGAGGAGGGGCAACAACAAGGGACGAGGGAGGAGGGGACGGGAGGAGGGGAGGACGAGACGAGCGGGAACGGAGGAATATAGGGTGGGTAGGTAGGACAGGAGAGACGGGACGAGCACGGGAGGGACGGCGAGCCCAAACGTGAGACGGAGGGGTAGGGTCAGGGGACAGCGGAGGAGACACAGGAGGGGAACGAGGAGGAAGACGGTCCGGAGACGAGTCCGGCGGCGGGAACACAGGACCGTAGACAGGGAGGTCAGCAGGCGGTGGGGGAGACACCGTCGCGCGGTCCGGGGAGGGAAGGCCGAGCAGGCGGAGAGTGGAGACCGGCGGCGACGACTACTGCAGCGGTGACGACGGCTGCTGCGGCGGCGACGACGGCTAGGCCGGAACTCTCAGACCAGCAAAGGCAGAACGACCGTCGTCAGAACACTCAACAGCAGCACCCCCAGCACCAACACCCCCAGAGCGAGAACCCCCGCCAACACCAGCGGCACCCCCAGAAGCCGCAGGACGAACACCCTCCTCCACACCAGCACTCCCAGGGGCCAAGAGCGGCGGCGGCAGTGGCGGCGACGACTGCGGCGGCGACGGCTGCGGCGGCGGCGACAGCGGCGACGGCTGTGGCGGCGACGGCTGCAGCGGGGTCGGCGACTGCGACAGTGGGGGCGGAGGCACCGGGGAAGGGGGACGCGGCAAGGACAGACAGGGGGTACCACCAGAGTCAGCAGACTCTTTAACGGGGACAACCGATGGGAGGGGAGTGACGTGAGAGACACCAGACGGGGCAGGACGAGGCGGGAGAGGGGCAGGGGCTACCGGGGGAGAGGGAGCAAGGAACAGGGGGGGGCAACTGGGAGACCCCGGTGAGGGAAGCGGCGGTAGTAGGAGACGGACTCGTCAAAGGTGACGTCACGAGAGTGGAGGAAGCGGTGAGACGGCGGGTGGTAGAAAAGCCAGTCAGACGAGTCCAGGGGGAAACCGAGGAAGACACAGGGGACAGTGCGGGCAGTGAGCTTGTCCGTGCCAGAGACACGAACGTGAGCAAGGCAACCCCAGACGTGGAACGTAGACGCGTCACCGGGGGACCCGGTCGAAAGGAGGGTCGGCGAAACCTGCGGCCGCTGGGAGCGTGGCCACAGGTTAAGCTGGTGAGCAGCGTAGCGAACAGCGAACGGCCACAGAAAATGGGGGGCATCGGCATGGATCATGGAGGTACGGGCGACCTCCATGACCAAGCCGATGCGGCGCTCAGCAACCCCATTCTGCTGTGGCGAGTCCGGCAAGGTGTACGACTGGGTGATGCCCTCCGCACGGTAGAACTGTCCAAGCCGACCAGAGGCGAACTCGCCGCCACGGTCGGAGTGGAGACACAACACGGGGAGACCGCGGTGGAGACGCGCAGCCACAACCCACGGGAGAAGAACGTCGGGCACGTCGGCCTTCCTCTCCAGGGGAAACACCGTGGTGTAGCGCGTGTAGTCGTCGTTGAGCACAAGGAAGTAGCGCTCACCGCGCGGTCCGGGGACGGGGGCAGGGCCCCAAACGTCCAGGTGCAGGGTCTGAAGGGGGGTAGTAGCAGGGCGCAGCGAGGAGGAGAGAGGAGCACGGCGGAGCCGACCCTCGACGCAAGGCGTGCACGGTGGCGCAGTCGAGGGAGGAAGTGCAGGGAGCGACGCGGGGAGACCTAAGACAAGACCGTGCTGAGACATGTGACGCAGACGCGGGAGAGCAGGGTGACCTAAGCGGTGGTGCCAGAGAAGGGACGGGTGAGTGAGGGACCGACACGAGCAAGCTGCAGCGACCTGGGAGGACGCACCAACCGGTGGGGAAGCGGTGTCGAGGGTAAACAGACCGGACACCGGGTCCCGGTGGAACGTCGCAAGGGGGGAACCTGACACAGCCTCAGAACAGACAGCAAACCGCTCGTGCCCCGGGAACGTGGTGGTGACGCCGAGGTCCTGGAAACAGCCGACACCAACCAGGTTCCTGGAGAACGAGGGCACGTGGAGGCCAGTAAGGGAGCCCGAGGGAACTGCTGGACAGGGAAGGGATGTAGAACAGCGCGCGACGACAGGACCCGCACAGGGGTCAGCGAGAGAGACAACAGCAGGTGCAGCAAGCGGCGTGAGCGTGGAACAGTCGCGGAAGAAGCAGGCAGAAGCACCGGAGTCGAGAGTGAAGGACAGCGACGCAGTGGCGGAGGCCGGGGACGGAGCCGGTGCAGCGACTAGACTAGGCAAGCTAGGCAGTCCTACGCCTGACGCAGCAGGGGAGGCTAAGCTACACAGTGGTGCAATACCTAAACTAGAGTACACAGGGTAATAAGATCCAGCAAAACTAGAAGCGTCAGAATACAAAGCATGCAAAGCAGCACCTATCTGATCCATGTCTAACTCAAAGATTGGCACACCCTAGCGGAGCAGGCTGTGCCAGTCGGGGAGGTCCAGGACCGGGCCAAAGCGACGACGAAAGAGATCGTCGAGGCGGCGGAAACAGCGGGCGGTCGGGTGCGGGCGGCGGCACAGAATGCCGCGAAGAGGCCCGGTCTGAAGCTGGTACTGGCAGGTGACAGCACCGGAGCCGCCGGTAGACGCTAAGCTGCGCGGGCCGCCACCACGGCCACTACCTCCGGAGGTGCCGGGCCAACCAGGCGGGAGACGGGCCCACTGCTGCGGCGAATGCTGCTGGGACGGTGACTGCTGCTGGGGCGGCGGCTGCGGCCGGGGCTGCTCCTGCTGCGGCTGGGGCTGCTGCTCCTGCCCACCAGTGGTAGTCCCCGCAGGCGGACTACCGTCACCACCACTAGCGTCACCACCCCTACCTCCCTGGCGACCACGGCCACCGCGACGCGAGCGCTGCTGCGGGTGGACCGCACCAGCCGTCTTGGTGAGAGGGGCCGCCGAGGCGACCGCAGCCGAAACGTCAGTGAACGTACACTGGGAGGGGGCACAACCGTGAAAGATAGAAACTGCCGGCGCACCGCTCGACTGAGCGATAGTGCGCTGGCGAGTCTCGATCTCTGTGAGGGTATCGACAAAGGCAGTGAGGGTGAGGTCACCCGGGTGCTGGCTATTGAAGTGATCGCGAGCACTAGCGAGGCGGTCTGGCAGGCGTATGGCGATAAAATAGAGCGTCATGCAGAAAGGGGGGGGGAGCGCTGTGAGCTGGGCAGCAGTGCTGGCAGTGCGATAGCGGGTCTCTAGGGTACGCAGGTGCGTGGCAAAGTCTGCGACGGTAGGGAATGCTGCAAGGTCTGGGAAAAGCATAGGGAAGAGCAGGCGACCGGCAGAAGTAGACGCGGGTGTGGAATAGCGAGCAATAACAGCGTCTAAGTAAGCTTTGGCCGTCTCAATAGTAGCAAAACGCGAGTGCTCAGAGACAGGGAGGGCGTGGCTAATGGCAACCTGAGCGACTGCATCGCGGGAGTCCCAGACCGCACGGGCAAGCGCAGCAGTAGAGAAGGTCTCACGGTCATCAGAGGAGGGATCAGTAGGGAGGGGAGTAGGTGCGGGGGGGCGGGGGAGCAAGCCGTCTACATGGACAACCAAGGAGTGGCCATCCTGGCGCTGACCTGTAAGGTGGCGGCGGAGATCGGAGAGCCAGGCGGCGAAGTCAACCGCATGGCCCTCGGCGTCCAGTCGGAGCACGAAGTCCACCATCGTGCAGGGTCAACGGCACAGCTCCACAGGAACACAGCGACGCAGGAACACAGCGACAGCCCCCTCCAGCACGGTGGCCGCGAAGCGCCTCAGCACGAGCGAGCAGAGGAGACGGAGCCCGAGGCGGCTTGGCAGAACGAGCCGGGGCGAAGGGGCAAGGCGGGTGCGGTGGGGCAAGGCAGGTGCTGGCGGGGCCAGGCAGGCGCGGCGGGGCCAGGCAGGCGCGGCGGGGCCAGGCAGGCGCGGCGGGGCCAGGCAGGCGCGGCGGGGCCAGGCAGGCGCGGCGGGGCCAGGCAAGGTGCGGCGGTGCCAGGCAGGAGCGGCAGGGCCAGGCAGGCGCGGAGGGGCCAGGCAGGCGCGACGGGGCCAGGCAGGCCGCGGCGGGGCCAGGCGGGCGCGACGGGGCCAGGCTGGCGCGTCGGGGCCAGGAAGGCGCGGCAGGGCCAGGGAGGCGCGGCGGGTCCAGGCAAGCGCGACGGGGCCAGGCAGGGCGCGACGGGGCTAAACAGGGCGCGACGGGGCCAGGCGGGCACGACGGAGCCAGGCAGGGCGCGACGGGGCCGAGCGGGCGCGACGAGGCCAGGGAGGGCGCGACGGGGCCGAGCGGGCGCGACGGGGCCGAGCGGGCGCTACGAGGCCAGGCAGGGCGCGACGGGGGCAGGCAGGGCGCGACGGGGCCTAGGAGGGGCGCGACAGGGCGAGGGGGGCGCGACGAGGCTAGGGTGGCGCGACGGGGCCCAGGAGGGGCGCGACGGGGCTAGGAGGCGCGACGGGGCCCAGGAGGGGCGCGACAGGGCTAGGGTGGCGCGACGGGGCTAGGGTGGCGCGACGGGGCCCAGGAGGGGCGCGACAGGGCTAGGGTGGCGCGACGGGGCCCAGGAGGGGCGTGACGGGGCTAGGAGGCGCGACGGGGCCCAGGAGGGGCGCAACAAGGCTAGGGTGGCGCGACGGGGCTAGGGTGGCGCGACGGGGCCCAGGAGGGGCGCGACGTGGCTAGGAGGCGCGACAAGGCCTAGCTAGGGTAGAGGCGGAAGCGGTAGGTGGGGGATGCTAACCTACGCGTGATACCATGTTAACGTGAGAAGGAATGATAACTAGAGGTGGAAACCTATAACAAATACTAGTTGGTTGTACTCACTAGAAGCATACCTCAGTCTAGCCTATAACTTCTACATAGCTAATTTTTATAAGCTGACAGCACCGACACTTGCTACATATGAATACCCAACAGCACAAAATCCATTTTTTCCCCCCAAATCTGGCATGTTACAAAGTCTATGGTTTAATTCCCGATTTGTTTTTACAGTCTACCCTCAATTGTAAATCATTCCCTTGTGCTGATTGTTGTTTACCATTTGTATATCGTTGGTTTGATTTCAGGTTTTGCACAGATGCAAGTAACTCTTAGGAACTGAATGAATGATTAGTGAGGGAGAGAGTACAGGAATATACAGCGACGGAAAGAATTGTCCACATGTTTGGCAATTTTTTGAATTTCCACCGTTAAAGGGCATTTGAACATTAAGCCTTAATTGGAGGCATTACCCACTATCTGCAGGCCAATCTAGGGAGACATAATAATGGTACACATTTGATGAAACTACTATCGTTAACAGTAAACAACAACATAACCAAACACGGTGCATGTGGACAATTATTTCCAGGCGGAAGCAGCAACTTGAAAAACCCTTAAACTAGTACCTGGTCCACCGCCCTTTAGCCCTAATCACTGCTTTCACCCTCCTGGGCATGCTGTCGATCAAATTGGAGCACACCTCTGATGGGATCTTCTCCCACTCCTCTTGTACACGCTCCCACAGGTCCACCATACCAGAGGGAGGTAACTCATGCTTTCCCAGCTCCCTTTTAAGATGAGCCCACAGATGCTCAATGGGGTTCAGATCAGGACTTCCTGCCGACCACTCCAGGACCCCATACTCCTGCTCCTGAAGCCACTGCTGCACCACACGGGACTTATGCTTGGGGTCGTTATCATGCTGAAAGATCACAGCCGAGGGCGTTAGCTTGTAAAAGTCGATGGTTTTTTTCAGCTCGTCTTGCAAAATGCTCAGATACAGCGGCCCATCCATCCGACCATCGATTTTGCACATGAAACCCGCCCCCTCAAACGTCATACACTCCCAGAGCATCAAGCCACCGCCCCCGTGTTTGACGGTTTGCTTGATCTGGTGGTGTTGGAGAGTCGTACCTTCACGAACCCAGGCGTATGCGCGGCCGTCAGAGCCGAACCTACTAATCCTCGTCTCATCCGACCATATGACCCGTCGCCAGTCATCTATGGTCCAATCCGCGTGGGCCCGTGTGAACGCCAGCCTATCGCGGATATTTTTCTTGGAGAGTCGCGGCTTCTTAGGCTGCTGAACTGCGATAAGGCCGCTGAACTGCGATAAGGCCGCTGGATTTGAGCGCATTACGCACCGTCCTAGGATGCACCGTGATGCCGTGCTGGGATTCGACGATTTGGGCCGCATGCCTCGAGGTTTTCGCCTCGCCACTAGTGATCGCCCTGACGATCCCACGACGAATTCTACTTGTCAGTACGCGTGGATGACCAGCAGTGGGCATTGTAGGACGTACGTCCTCGGGACTAGTCTCTGAAATCGCCTTGAGCCCGACATCATGTACTGTACTTTTCCCAACGCCAACCTGTTTCGCGATTTGCCTCGTGCTGAACCCCCTACGCAACAGGGCCACGATCCGGGCGCGACGAGCCTCATCTATCGGTCTCATCTTGGCGTAGTCTACGCCTCGGGTATAAACTCTATTCTGACTACTCGACAATTGCGTTAGGAACTATGGAGAGAATGCGCTTGTCGAAAACGGATCTAGTCCGCTGCTTGGCCAAAAATGTCCGGATGCACTCACGCGACTGAAATCTTGTCCACGCTATTAGTGTGACCCATTCAAATTGCAATCGTGTTACCCTATTGTAACTGGCACGCGTAACTTACTAGTCAGCAATGAACATTCAACAATACATCGGGTGAAAGCATTCAAATCATGTGTTGAACCTAAAATTGGACTTTATCCGGGCAATACTTTCCGTCGCTGTAAATAAGTGTTGTACCCTCTAAGAGATGACCCTATACAGTCTATGCAAAGTATATGAGATACACATGTTTGACACACCCCCTAGACTGCATAGGGGCAGGTCCTGAACAAGCAGCTCAGGGCGGCACTACTAGTCCAGCCACTGAGACAAGGGTCTAAAGACCAGTCAGAGGGAGTACAGGCAAGGCAAGAACAAGGCCAGGGCAGCAGTACTAGTCCAACCACTAGCAGAGGACACAAGTCCAGTCTGAGTACACACAGAAATATATATATATAGCGCAGTACAGAGTCAAGGTCCTAGCAAGTGAGAAGCTACAGGAACTAGACCGAGCTGTACACAGTGCCGTTGATGATCTTTAGGCGCAAGCGCCTTCGTAAAGATATCAGCTGTGTTGACACCGGAGGCCAGGTGTACTACGCGGGCCTGGCGACGCTGCTGCAGCTCACGCAGGAGGAAGTACCGCAGCTGAATATGCTTCGCTCTGCCCTCGAGTCGAGGCTCCTGACACAGGAGGATCATGGCCCTGTTGTCAGCGAACAGGACCGGGGCAGAGCTAGGCCGCTCACCTAAGTTAGTGGATAAGAAAGTCAGCCAGCGGGGCTCCTGTGCCGCCATGGCACCAGCGTAGATCTCGGCCTCATAGCTGGACTGGGCAACAGACGAGGAGCGGGTAGCTCTCCACGAGACGGCACCTGAACCAAGGCTGAAGCAGTAGCCCTGGGAAGACCTGAGGGTCTCAGCGTCGTCCGCCCACGAAGCGTCTGTGTGACTAGTAAGGACCACTGGCCTGCGTCCTCCTAGCACTAACCCCATGCCCGATGTACTTGCAAGATAACGCAAAACCGTCTTAGCAGCATACCAGTGCTGCGGTCGGTGTCTGCCTGTGGCCACAAAGCGAGCCAAGATGCTGAGAGGGTATGCGAGATCAGGGCGAGTGCAAGTCACCAGGTACACGAGGCAACCCACCAGCTCTGCGTAAGGGCCACTGGGCTCTACCGACTCCTCAGGAACTGGAGCGGAGAGTCTGTGGGCTAGAGGCAGAGGGGTGGGCTGTGCAGAGGAGAACTGAAGGCTGAACCTCTGAAGGACCTGGCGCACCAAGTGTGACTGAGTCAGGGTAATGGTGCGCGCTGCTCTGTCCCTGGAGATCTGCAGGCCAAGGTAACGGCGCAGCTCTCCAAGGTCAGTGCAAGTGTGCCTCTTCAGTAGCTCTGCCTTCACGGAGGCCTGCGCGTCCCTGTCTGCTGTGGCAAACACCAGATCGTCCACGTACACAAGGATGTAGAACGGAGTCTGGCCAGCACGAACGAAGAATGAGGGGTCTGCCGAGGAAGAAAAGAACTGAAGGTCAGCAAGAGTAGCCTGCAGCGTGTCGTGCCACTCACGGGGAGCCTGCCGCATGCCGTAGACAGGACGCCGCAGGAGCCACTGGGTCCCAGGAGGGAAGGTGCCAGTAAAGCCCTGAGGGCGGCGCAGGTAGACCTGCTCGTGCAGGCTGCCCTGAGGGAAGGCAGTGGAGAAGTCGAGGGAGTGAAGCTCATAGTCACGCTAAGCTGCTACGTGTAGCAGAACCCGAAGAGTAGTCATCTTCGGGGTCGGAGCGAAGGTCTGGAAGAAGTCCACCCCCTCACGCTGACTGAAGCCTCTAGCCACGTAGTGCGCCTTGAACACAGGCGGCTCTCCAGGAGGGCGCTTCACCTTGAAGAGCTAGAGGCCATCGACTATGTTCACCCCAAGTGGGGGAACTGCGTCGACGAAGGTGCCGGTGGATCTCCAAGATGCCATCTCCTGCTCCATGGCAGCTATCCACTGCGAGGCCCAGGGTCCCGAAGTCGCCTCAGCGTAAGTGCGAGGGGTCGGGATGTCAAAAGCGTCTGGGTCACCCTCAGGGACTAGCAGCATGGAACAGAGATGGGGAGCAGCCTCGGACAGGAAAGCAAGCTCAAACTGGCGGTCCTCCAGGACGTCACTGCCGAGGGCAGGAGCACCCCCGACAGACGGAGGACAGGCAGGGTCACAGACCAGAGCGTAGGCGTAGTCAAGGCGGCGGGTAGAGGCGAAGTCAGCGACCGCAGCGACAAGAGCGTCAAGGCACGAGACCGGAACAGACGGGTCAGTAACAAGAGAGGCAAGGACCTAAGGAACGAGAGGACGGGCGGCACGAAGGTAGTCAGACAGAGGGGGGGGAGCAACGACAAGGGAGGACGGAGGAGGGGACGGGAGAAGGGGAGGACGAGACACGTGGGAACGAAGCAACATAGGGTGAGAGAGGGTGACACGGGAGACAGGACGAGCGCGGGAGGGACGACGAGACCAGACGTGAGACGGAGGAGTCAGGTCGGGAGACAGAGGAGGGGATACAAGGGGAGAGCGAAGGAGAAGACGAACCCGGGACGAGTCCGGCGGAGGGAACACAGGGCCGTACACGGGGAGAGGGGGAGACGGGAGGAGGGGAACGGACGCTGGGTCAGGGGACGGAAGGCCGAGCAGGCGAAGGGCAGACACTGGCAGGGACTGCTGCTGCAGTGGTACAACGCCGACACCGGGACCGCAAGCTGCTCCGCGGCTACCACCGACAGACTCCACTCCAGCACCCCCAGAAGGAACACCCGCAGGGCCCGAAACTCCTCGAGAACCGGCACCACCCCCAGGGCCACCGGGGCTAGAGCCCACTCCAACGCCGACACCCCCAGGGGCAACGAACAGCTGCTGCGACGGCGGCGGCAGCGGCGGAGACGACGGCAGCGACAGCAGAGGCGACGGCGGCTGCAGAGGCGACGACGGCTGCAGAGGCGGAGGAAGAGGAGACGCCGGGGGAGGGGCGGACGGCGAGGACTACGCCGCAGGACCACCTGAGTCAGAAGACTCCTCAACCGGGACAACGGACTGGAGAGGGGTGACGTGGGACACACCAGATGGGGCAGGACGGGGAGGGGGAGGGGGAGGGGCAGGGACCACCGGGGAAGGAGTGACCAGGAACAGGGGGGGAGTAACCGGGGGACCGCGGTGGGGGAAGCGACGGAAGAAGGAGACGGACTCGGCAAAGGTGACGTCGCGAGAGTGAAAGAAGCGGTGAGACGGCGGGTGGTAGAAGTGCCAGTCGGACGCGTCAAGGGGAAAACCTAGGAAGACGCAGGGAAGGGTGCGGGCAGTGAGCTTGTCCGTGCCAGAGGCACGAACGTGAGCAAGGCAGCCCCAGACGTGGAACGCAGACACGTCACCAGGAGACCCGGTCCAAAGACGGGTCGGCGAAACCTGCGGCCGCTAGGGGTGCGGCCACAGGTTAAGCTGGTGAGCAGCGTAGCGCACGGCGAACGGCCACAGAAAATGGGGAGCACCGGCATGGATCATGGAGGTGCGAGCAACCTCCATGAGTAAGCCGATGCGTCGCTCAGCGACCCCATTTTGCTGTGGGGAGTTCGGCTGGGTGAACGTCTGGGTGATGCCCTCCGCACGACAGAAGCGACCAAGGACACCTGAGGCAAACTCGCCACCAAGGTCGGAGTGAAGACGCAAGACAGGGAGACCTCGATGGACACGCGCAGAGACAAGCCAGGGGATGAGAGCGTCAGGCACGTCGGCCTTCCGCTCCAAGGGAAAGACGGTGGTGTAGCGAGTGAAGTCGTCGACAAGCACGAGGAAGTAGCGCTCTTGACGCGGCCCATGGACGGGGGCGGGGCCCCAGACGTCTATGTGCAAGGTCTGCAGTGGCGCGGCGGTAGGGGGAAACGAGGAGGAGTGGGGGGCACGGCGAAGCCGACCCTCGACACAAGGAGTGCAAGGCGGGGCGGGGGAGGAGGAAAAAGGGGGAAGGGAACCAGGGAGACCAAGGACGAGACCGTGCTGGGACATGTAACGCAGACGCGTGAGCGCAGGGTGACCTAGACGGTGGTGCCAAAGGAGAGTCGGGTGAGTGAGAGACCGACAGGAGCAGGCAGCAGCCACCTGGAGGGGCGCCCCAGCCGGGGGGGTCACGGTGTCCAGGGTGAAGAGGCCGGACACCGGGTCCTGGGGGAACGTGGACAGAGGGGCACCTGTGGCAGCCTCGGTACGGACAGCATACCGCTCATGACCAGGGAACGTAATGATGACGCCAAGGTCCTGGAGGCAGCCGACACCAACTAGGTTCCTGGAGAACGAGGGGATACGCAGACCTGTGAGAGAGCCCGAGGGAACTGCCGGACAGGGAAGGGTGGTTGAACTGCGGGCGACTAACGGACCGCCGGAGGGGTCAGCAAGAGAAACAGTGGCAGGAACAGGAAGCGGCGTCAGTGTAGTGAAGTCGCGGAAGAAGCACCGGGAAGCGCCAGAGTCCAAGGTGAACGAAAGCGAAGCAGTGGCATCCGGCGACGGGGCGACGGCGGAGGCACCAAGGCTAAACAAAGCAGGGGCTCCTACGCCTGACGCAGCAGGGGAGGCTAAGCTAGGCATACCTACACTAGGCGACAAGTAATAAGCGGGAAGCACACTAGAGTCATCAGCATACATCATATGCAGAGCAGAAACAATGGCATCGATGTCTAAGTAAAAAATCGGAATACTACGACTAAGCAAACTGTGCCAGTCCGGGAGGTCTGGCGACGGGCCGAAGCGCTGACGGAACAAGTCGTCCAGGCGACGAAAGCAGCGAGGAGTGGTATGAGCGGTCTTACCGGAAACGAAGCCGCGACGAGGACCAGTCTGGATCTGGTACTGGCAACGCACACCTCCTGAACCACCACCCGGTACACCACCACGCGCACGGCCACCTCCAGCTCCAGGCCACCCGGGCGGGAGGACACTCGCCTGCCTCGTCTGCGGCGGCTGCGACGGCTGCTGCGACGGCTGCTGCTGTTGCTGCGACTGTGGAGGCGGCTGCTCAGCTGGACCGGGCAGGGTCCCCTCGTCCGCTCCAGCACCAGACGACCCGACTCCACCACCACCCCCACTTGCACCCCCTCCTCCGCCGCCGCGCCCAGCCTTGGGGCGGCGGCCCTTCCCCGGATGGAACTGCACGGCAGCAGCAGTCTCAGCCACAGCGGCCGAACCGTCGGAGAAGGTGCACTGAGCGGGGGCACAACCCTGAAAGATAGGGACCGGCACGGTACCGCTCGCCTAGGCGATGGAGCGGTGGCGGGTCTCGATAACAGTCAGGGTGTCTAGAAAGTCGGTGAGGGTGAGCTCACCGGGGTGGATACTAAGGAAGCGGTCGCGGGCGGCGGCAAGGCGGTCAGGGAGGCGGGTGGCCAGCAGGTGGGCTCTAAGCTCTGCGTCAGTGCAGGCAGCGCGCCAGGTCTCATCTATCGTGCGTAGGTGGGCAGCCAGGTAAGCGACAGAGGGGAAGGACGCAAGATCAGGAAAGAGCAGCAGGAGGATCAGGCGACCCACCGAGGCAGCAGGAGGGGTGGAATAGCGCTTGAGGACATCATCTAAGTAAGCCTGAGCGGTAGTGATGGACCTAAAGCGGGGGCGCTCAGACGGGGGAAGGGCATTGCTAATGGCAAGCTTGGCGACAGCATCTCGTGAAAGCCAGACAGAGCGGGCAAGGGCAGCGGCTGCAGCGGACTCGCGCTCAGCGGGTGTGGGGTCAGCGGGCAGCACAGCAGGGGGATCTGGGCAGGGGAGCATACCGTCAAGGTGTGCAGAAAGCGGGTGGCCATCCTGCCGCTGGCCAGTGAGGTGGCGACGGAGGTCGGCGAGCCACGCCTCGAACTCCAGAGGCTGGCCTTCAGCGTCGAAGCGAAGCTCCGCCGCCATCAGGAGCAGTGCAGGACCGTACAGTGCGGTGCAAGGCAGTGCAGTGCAAGGCGGTGCAGCGCGGTGCAGTGCGGTGCAGGGCGGTGCAGGGTGGTGCAGTGCGGTACCGTGCATTGCAGGTGAGGGGGGGGGGAACCGTACCATGGAGGGTGCAGGGCCGGAGGAGGCACGACGAGCGAGCCGCACTCAGCTCGGGGCAGGACGGCCGCGGGGCCGACGGGGCGTGTGCAGGGCTGGCTGGGACGGGCGCGGGGCCGGCTGGGACGGTCACGGGCCGGCTGGGACGCGCAGGGGCCGGCGGGGATGGTCGCGGGCCGGCTGGGACGCGCTGGGGCCGGCTGGGACGGGCGCGGGTCGGCTGGGACGGGCGCGAGGCTGGCTGGGAGGCGCGCGGGCCGGCTGGGACGGGCGCGGGCTGGCTGGGACAGGCGCAGGGGCCGGCTGAGAGGGGCGCAGGGGCCGAGCGGGCAGGGCGCGGAGGTCGCGAGGACGGCCGTGGGGCCGGCTGGGACGGGCGCAGGGGCCGAGGAGGACGAGGGCAGGGGCCCCTAGGGTAGCACGGGGGCCGCTAGGGCAGGCGCTGGGGCCGTCACGAGGGGCCGCGAGGGCGGGCGCTAGGGCGGGCACGAGGGGCCGCTAGGGCGGGCGCTAGGACGGACACGAGGGGCCGCTAGGGCGGGCGCTAGGGCGGGCACGAGGGGCCGCTAGGGCGGGCGCGACGGGGCCGCTAGGGCGGGCGCTAGGGCGGGCACGAGGGGCCGCTAGGGCGGGGCGCGAGGCCGGCTAGGACGGCGCTAGGGCGGGCGCGACGGGGCCGCCAGGACGGGCGCTAGGGCCGAGGAGAGGTGGCGCGCAGGGCGGGCGTGACTAGGGCGCGATTAGAGCGCGGCTAGGGCGGGCACGGCTAGGGCGGGCGCGACTAGGGCAAGGATGTCCTAGAGCGGAAGCGTGGGTGAGCGGGACCTACCTACTGCTGATACCATCTTAGGAACTGAATGAATGATTAGTGAGGGAGAGAGTACAGGAATATGTCTAAGTGTTGTACCCTCTAAGAGATGACCCTATACAGTCTATGCAAAGTATATGAGATACACATGTTTGACAGTAACATCTCAGACTTATCATCCTCAGTGTTAAAGCCCGACCGGCAGGTTGCATATTGGTACTGTTGAAGTAGGTGGGGCGGCATGTTACGATTGGTTGACGAGGAAAAAGATATGAGAAATGTTTTTGCGAAACTTCATATTCGTCCACCTCGTGCTTGCGCGGGAGTTCCCAAGGGCTATGCAACATGGCAGAGCTGTCAGGTTTGAGCCCCGTCATTTGACAGGGGACTCACACCTGCCTTTTTGCCATGTTGCAAGGGGGGTTTTTCGTGCCTGCGTTTTTGCGCCAACAGCCCACATCGTTTTTTTTTTTTTTTTTTGTTAGGGCAAGTGGAGAGGAAACGAGTCTCAACTATTGGGCTTCGGTTTCGCCCTTGTGCAATCAAACACACATTAGTACACTTTCGCTAAACCGCCTGTAAGTCAAAATTTGAACGAGTAATTACCCTTTTAGCACACTTCGTGCTTGTTCACCTCGATACTTGGCAGGGACGCAAACTTGCCAAGTTTGTCGAGGCACAGAGTTGAGGTGTTTGAGTCTCGTCAACCACTGAGGTGGGTGGGTTCGGTTACAGGTTCTCAAGATGCAGCATCTTGAGAAAAGTGAGTTGCAACCTGCTGGTCGGGCTTTAACACGTTTGTCTCCAATGAAATTGCACGTCGTCCGGCCAGGATTGCTTGTTGAGGCGCTTCGTTCGGTATAAAAGGCTCGCGTTTGTATCTCCTCAAAGCAATCTGGTTCAGGTCAAAGCCCCCGTTTGAAGCTTCAACTGCGACCAATCAGACAGCCATCTGTTGAAGCCGAGTCGGAATTCCCAAACCGCTCGTCGAGTCGATTCTCCACCCACCAGTCACGCGACTTGATCCTCCCGCAATTCCAGGCGCGGCATAGTTTTTTGTGCAGCCTGCCCGTGACTCCACTCCCCTACCTGCCCCCCCTCCACTCTATTGTGGAAGGAAAGCTCGGTTTCTCTCCGAAACCTACTCAACCGTTTCAAAGCGCCCTCAAATGCACTCAGTGAATCCCTATGACACACTCTTGGAGCAGCTGAGCATGCTTTGCGTGTAACTCATCAGTGCAGGATTTGCCATTGTTCATCCCTCGCCCGCCACACCATGGCCCCCTCTCATCAAGCCCCTATACAACGAGTCGCGAGGGGCAGTCTGAAGCCAGCGACGGCTGCGATCCAGGATCAGTAGTCCTATCAAGGATTTGCGACGCGGTTCGACCAATCGTGACGCCTGCGGCATTCAGTCATATTCGTCTGTACAGTACAGCAGATCCGCGACTCGGCTCTTGTTCTCCTCCTCCGCAAGACCAAGCCTTCCTTCCTACCTTCGCCGCATTCGCAATCAGCTCCTGGACTTCTCTCCTCCGCTTCAATTCCGTGCACCAACGCAGCCTTTTCGTAACTCTCAACTCAGCTCTCGACGCCGATAGCCTGTCGTAAAAGCTTCTAGTGAAAACCGAATGTAAGCTCCTCCCCGTCACTCACCTTACCTCCCGCCATCGGCCGTTCCTTTTTAGAAACAGCAGTACCAGTGTCTGAGCCCTGCCTGAGCCCTGTCGATTATCAGGCAGCGGAAACCCAGTCGTGCGACTGTCTGGTAACAAACCTAGTCCACCGTCGCGGTGACGTTGCATCTCTTCGCGAAGCCTTTCAGCCGCACGTTCCCACTCGTCGCGGCGAGCCTAAAAACCGCTGCCCACTCTCAACGAGGAGATTGCCGCTCGTCACTACTACTACTACTAGTAACCTCGCGCAATGAAGGACAAGTGGGCTGTGCAGATCCCGCGGGGGAAGGTCAAACAGCCCTTCCGAGGCGCAGCTCGCTCCAACCCACTCCACGTCAGCGGCGGCGGCGGCGGCGGAAAGGCATCCGCGAACGACCGCCGGATGTGGGAGGACGAGCGGAAGCGCCTGGTGCGCGTTCCCCGGCGCGCGACATACGGAGACGACGACTATGACGATTCCGACGAGGAGGAGAACGAAGATGAAGAGCTCGGGTACGGCGGCAATGGCCGGGGACGCGGTGGCTATGGCAGAGTTTCGGGCGGCGGCAAGGGCGGAAAGGACGTGGATGATGATGATGACGAGGAGGGGTGCCTGTGGTGCTGCTGCTCGTGCCTCAAGTGGCAGCGCGTGTGCGGCGTGCTGTTCGGCCTGGTCATTCTCGCCGCACTGCTCTACGCGCTGCTCGACGCCAGTGACCTGCTCCCGGTAAGCCAGACGACCCTTCTGAGAGGCGCCTCAATACTCGTAATGGAGGCGCCAGTGACCTGCTCCCGGTAGGTCATAATCGCTGCTCCTGTTTCATCATTACCGCCAGGCTCATCGCAGTACACACGACTACTGCTCACCTGCCTCCTTACCTCCCCGTTCGTTAGTCATTGCTCCTGTTTCACCATAACCGCTAGGCTCATCATCCTGAGCTGTACACAGTACAACCGCTCACCTGCCTCCTTATCTCCCTGCTGCCCTGCTGTCTTCCCCGCCTTTCTCTCCTCTCGTCTATCCCCCCCGCGTGTGTCTCGTTGTAGCGGCAGTGCGGCGACAACTGTCCGCCCCGCATCCACGGCCTCGGCCCGCTGTACCAGCGCGCCATGGACGCGGCGCAGGGGGTGGCGCTTCCGAATAGCGCGGAGAGCGGCGGAGGCGGAGGCGGAAGCGGTGCGGGAGGAGTAGGACCAGGAGCAGCAGCAGATCCTGCTTTGACTCCTGACGCTCAGCAGTATCAGCAGCCACGGTTTCAACCCGACCCGCTGCAGTATCAGCAGCAGCAGCAACAGCAACAGCAGCAGCAGCAGCAGGAAGAGCAGCAACAGCCGCAGCAGCAGCAGCAGCAGGAGGAGGAGGAGGAGGAGCAGCAGCCGCAGCAGCATCAGCAGGACCAACTGGAGGAGCAAATGGATCCGCAGCTGCAGCAGGCGATGCTGCACTACGAGCCGCAAGACAGCCCGCTGCTTGTCCCTCAAACGCAACCGGCGCAGCAGCAGCAGCAGCAGTCAGAACAGCCTCCAGAGCTGCCGCAGGAGCCGCCGCTAAACATGCCGTTCACGCCGCCGCAGAAGCCGCCGCAGGAACCGCCGCAGAACCCGCCGCAAGAGCCATACGATTCCTCCGCGGCCCAGCTCGGTGCGGCGCCCCCGCACGACATGCCCGACTGGTCGGCTGCGGCCGGCCAGGAGGCGGAAGCGCAATCTGAAACACCCATGGGGAATGGGGGCGATGGGGAATATGCGCGGACGGAGCAGCTGCAAGCGGAAGCGCAGCAGGTGCGCGCGGCGGAGGAGCAGCAGCCACCTGCGGCGGAGTGGGCGCGCCAGGCTTCCGCCCAAGGCGGCGCAGGGTCGTGGGGAGCGGACGACGGGGCGGTAGATGCGGCGGCGGAGATGCGCGGAACGGCGGGAGAGGAGGTGGGTGGGAACGCGGGGCAGTCACCAGCGTACAACACTGGCGCGGGGAACGTGGAGGCGGGTGGGGGAGAATTCACTGTGGCACATGGGGGGGACGGGGCGCAGGACCGAGATTATGGACCGGCGCAAATGGGGGCGGAGGGGCAAGTTGCACCTAAGAGCCAAGCGGTGGCGGCAAACGGTGCTGTGGCGCAAGCGGGTGCGGGGGACCGCGCGCGGACAGAGCGCCTAGACGCGCCTGTGGGGAAGACTGCGGAAGCAGCGGGGCAGGCGGAACTCCAGGGGGGGCTGGGAGCGGGAGTCGGGGGAGATGCGCGGGAGGAAGGCAAGGCGGAGACTGCAGGGCCAGAAGCAAGGGCTGAGGTTGCTACAGGCTCTACAGATACTACGAACGCTACAGATGTCGCCACAGTGGTTGCCAAGTCAGCAGCAACGAGTAATGGCTCTGACGCAGCTACGGCTGTCGCCTCCGCCACAGGCGGTGCTACATCCGGTGCTACAGCACAACCGTCTGCCTTCGGACACGTGGCGGGCGGGGTGAGTGCGCTGCAGGCGGAGGAGGAAGCGCGGGCGCGCGTGGGCGAGGAGAAGCAGCAGGGGAAGAAGGGGGAGGGTGCGGAGGGTGCAGCGGGAGGGGAGGGTGATGTGCTTGATGATGCCATGGCTGATGCCTATCGGCCTTGCATTGAGGCCAGCAAGCTAGCAGATATGGGTAAGTAAAAAGCCTCCTTGGTTCATTACCTCAACGTTGGTTCATGAGATTATGATCGATGCCCATGGTCGATGCCCATGGTCGATGCCCATGGTCGATGCCCATGGTCGATGCCCATGGTCGATGCCCATGGTCGATACCCATGGTCGATACCCATGATCGATGCCCATGATCGATGCCCATGGTCGATGCCCATGGTCGATGCTCATGATCGATGCCCATGGTCGATGCCCATGATCGATACCCATGGTCGATGCTCGTTCCTGGCTTCCACGTCCATCGATTCTCTCACCCCGCCACCCTCCGTGTTTCCCTCTCTCTCCCCTCCACTCCCTCCTCTCATCGCTCATGATTGCTTTGTTCTGTTCTGTCCTCTTCTTCCCCGGCCCACTGTCCTTCCCCAGCCGCCCAGACTGCTTGGCCGTATCTCGCCCTCTTAGGTGTGCGTCCCGGCTTCACACGTCAGCAAGAGGCGCTCTTGCGTGGCTTGTGGGCGGCGAAAATGACGGGATCTGTGCTGCTGCTGCCGCCCTTTTTCCTCAGCTTCGATTCGGGCGACATGAAGCAGACGAAGCTGCAGCAGTACCTCGATACAGACAGACTCATTACTCATGTGAGTGGCACATGCTAAATGATCTATTATATTTGCTCTATGCTTGGCTTCTTTTGCCTTGGAAGTCAATCATTCACCACGTGGTGGGACCTTTACAGGAGATAAATGCATCCATGCATTCCTCCCCCCTCCTCTACCTCTGTGCGTGTGTGCATGTTACCTGTGCTCCCGTTGTCCCTCTTGACATGCTGTGCAACAACAATAACAACAATAACAACAACAACGACAACAACAACGACAATGACATTGCTGCTGGAACTCCCTCCCATCTCCTCCCGGGATGCTGTATTCCGACTACCAGATGTACTGCTCTTCCAGTAAGCTCCCATACTTCTCCCCCTCCTCCCCACTGCCTTCCAATCCTTCTCCCCCTCCTCCCCACTGCCTTCCCACCCTTCTCTTGCATCCCCTGACTCTTGTCAATCTGCCAGCACCTCATTCCCGTCTTCCTCCGCTTCTCCCCTCACTTGCCCTCACCATCACCCTCCCCCTCCCCGCCTCCCCACTCCAGAGTCCTGGGCGGTGCCCCAGCTACCTCCGTCCATCCTCTCCTCACTGCCCCCGAACGCCACCGGTGCCAACATGCCTGCGCTGGTTCAAGCGCTGGGACCCAAGGCCCAACGCATCCCACCTAAAGTAGTTGCTGCACTCAGTAGTGCTGACGGTGGTGGGAGCGGTGATGGTGCTGCTGTCATTGCGGCTTGGAGAGAGAAGACGAGTGAGGAGGCCACTGCTGGGAGGGTGAGTGAGGAGAGGGTGGGAGCTGAAAGAATGATAGTTTAGTAGTGCTCATGCCATGGCATTGGCATCCATGCAAAAAGCCTGATGGCTTGTATGTGACCATGGACTCCATATGTGGATGCCGGGCATCCACATATGGAGCACATCCCCTTCACCTCTTGAGATAGCTCAGATTTTGAGACGTCTCCGAACTCCCCTTCCTTCCCTTCCCTTCTCTTCCTCCCCCTCCCTCGCATCCCACCAGCTCAATCTCCTGCTCCTAGATGCTGACACGGACAACATCCCCTTCACCCCTTGTTGAGACAGCTCAAGTTGTGAAATGTCTCAAAACTTCCCCTCCCATCATCCCATCCCACCAGCTCAATCTCCTGCTCCTAGACGCCGACACTGACATCCCCTTCACATCCCGCGAGCAGCAGCGCCTGCGCCGCAACGGGCTGGCGGCCATGCGCCCGTCCGCCTCCATCGCGTCTGTCTCCTCCCTCCTGCTCCACCTCATCCGCAAGACACACGAGGCGCAGTTCGGCGAGCTCGTCGGCTTCTCCTTTGCTGTAGTGCACATCAACCCAGACTCCCTTGAAGATGCCTCTGCCGTCCCTGTCCCTGTTGCTGCTCCCGGACTTCTTGCGAATAACAGCAACAGCACTGGCAGCACCCTCAGCACCAGCAGCAGCACAGACCGCTTCCTGTCGGTGCTGCTATCTGTGCTCAACCCTGCGCACACGCTGCTCTACGTGACCATCGGCGACACGCCCCAGAGCGCCGCTATTCTCGCGCGCCTCAAATCCGCGTCCTTCCACACTACTACCCGTGACGCGCTCCTGCGCTCGGACCGCTCAGCTGCCGGCACCGACGCGCGGCGATTCCTGTCCAACCTCCACCCCGAGCACGAGATGCAAGCAGCGGTGGAGCAGGCCGTGGCCCGGGAAGCTGCGGTGTTCTTTGGCCCGGCGGAGTCGTCGTTCTCGTCGCTGGTGTTTGAGCTCCGGTGCTTCACAACAACGGCAAAGGGGGAGGGGGCGGGGGCGGCGATGCGCGCAACTGTGTTCTATGACGTGGGGCCCACGGCTGTGCCTTGCCGTGCGTGATGATGATGGCATGTGAGGAACGGGAAGAGAATGAGCAATGGTGGCTGTTTGGGATGTAGATTTGGATTGGAGACATCTCGAATCCGTGTGTGATGACATGCGAGGCATGGGAATGGGAAAAGAACGAACAACGGTGGTGGTGTGGTTGGTTAGCCTGGGGTTGTACTATGGAGGAGTAGATGGGAGAGTGATGGGAGGGAGAGGGATGGGAGGAGGGGGAATGGGACTGGGTGATGGGAGAGCCTTTGAGAATGGTTCTTGGGTAGGTGCTATGCTCAATACTCAATGTTTGAACTTGTGCCACCTTATATAGGTCCAGGCCCTAAGATTGGTTTTTGGGCACGCTGATTGATCATCCTAGCCACGCGGACTTAGGCTGATTTGTCAGCCCCCCCCTTTGTCGAAAAGCTGATTTTGTCGGCTTATAATATTTTTTTTGTCTGAAAATTACAGCCTTGATGTGAAAATAAACGCTGAAGCAAGAATGGTGTATAAAATCATCACACACCTCTACATCGGTCTCTACCTCCTCTCCTAAATGCATGGTGTTGGGCTGAGAAAAATGCCCTTAGGATCTTTTTATCAGAATTGAGAAGTGAATTTGGATAGAGTGAGAGTATACACAGATATACCTACGTGTTGTACTCTCTAAGAGGCGACCCTATACAGTCTATACAAACATGACAAATACACATGTTTGACACACCCCCTAGACTGCATAGGGGAATGCCCTAAACAAACAGCTCAGGGCGGCACTACTAGTCCAACCTCTGAGACAAGGGTCTGAGAGACCAGTCAGAAGGAGTACAAACAAGGTAAGAACAAAAGCAGGGCGGCACTACTAGTCCAGCCACTGGGAGAGGACACAAGTCCAGTCTGAGTATACGTATAAAGGACAGTACAAAGTCAAGGTCCTAGCAAGTGAGAGGCTACAGGAACTAGACCAAGCTGTACACAGTGCCGCTGATGATCTTTAGGCGCAAGCGCCTTCGTAAAGATATCAGCCGTGTTGGCACCTGAGGCCAAGTGTACTACGCGAGCCTGACGTCGCTGCTGTAGCTCACGCAGGAGGAAGTACCGCAGCTGAATGTGCTTTGCTCTGCCCTCGAGTCGAGGCTCTTGACACAGGAGGATCATGGCCCTGTTGTCAGCGAACAGGACCGGGGCAGAGCTAGGCCGCTCACCTAAGTCAGTGAGCAAGAAGGTCAGCCAGCGGAGCTCCTGTGCCGCCATGGCACCAGCGTAGATCTCAGCCTCACAGCTGGACTGCGCAACAGACGAGGAGCGGGTAGCTCTCCACGAGACGGCACCTGAGCCAAGGCTGAAGCAGTAGCCCTGGGTAGACCTGAGTGTCTCAGCGTCGTCTGCCCACGAAGCGTCTGTGTGTCCAGTAAGGACCACTGGCCTGCGTCCTCCTAGCACTAACCCCATGCCCGATGTACTAGCAAGATAACGCAGAACCCTCTTAGCGGCAGACCAGTGCTGCGGTCGGTGTCTGCCTGTGGCCACAAAGCGAGCCAGGATGCTGAGAGGGTATGCGAGATCTGGGCGAGTGCAAGTCATCAGGTACATGAGGCAACCCACCAGCTCTGCGTAGGGGCCGCTGGGCTCTACCAACTCCTCAGACACTGGAGCGGAGAGTCTGTGGTCTAAAGGCAGAGGGGTGGGCTGTGCAGAGGAGAACTGAAGGCTGAACCTCTGAAGGACCTGGCGCACCAAGTGTGATTGAGTCAGGGTGATGGTGCGCGCAGCTCTGTCCCTGGAGATCTGCAAGCCCAGGTAACGGCGCAGTTCTCCAAGGTCAGTGCACGTGTGTCTCTTCAGCAGCTCTGCCTTCACGGAGGCCAGTGCGTCCCTGTCTGCGGTGGCAAAGACAAGGTCGTCAACGTAAACAAGGATGTAGAACGGAGTCTGGCCAGCACGAACGAAGAGTGAAGGGTCTGCGGAAGACGGAAAGAACTGCACGTCAGCAAGCGTAGCACGGAGAGTGTCGTGCCACTCACGGGGAGCCTGGCGCAGGCCGTAGACGGGGCGCCGCAGGAGCCACTGGGTCCCAGGAGGGAAGGTGCCAGTGAAGCCCTGAGGGCGGCGCAGGTAGACCTGCTCGTGCAGGCTGCCCTGAAGGAAGGCAGTGGAGAAATCGAGGGAGTGAAGCTCGTAGTCACGCTGAGCAGCTAGGTGTAACAGAACCCGAAGAGTAGTCATCTTCGGGGTCGGAGCGAAGGTCTGGAAGAAGTCCACCCCCTCGCGCTGACTGAAGCCTCTAGCGACATAGCGCGCCTTGAAGACAGGCGGCTCTCCAGGAGGGTGCTTCACCTTGAAGAGCCAGCGGCCATCGACTACGTTCACCCCAGGTGGGGGAACTGCGTCGACGAAGGTGCCGGTGGATCTCCAAGATGCCATCTCCTGCTCCATGGCAGCTATCCACTGCGAGGCCCAGGGTCCCGAAGTCGCCTCAGCGTAAGTGCGAGGGGTCGGGATGTCAAAAGCGTCTGGGTCACCCTCAGGGACTAGCAGCATGGAACAGAGATGGGGAGCAGCCTCGGAGAGGAAAGCAAGCTCGAACTGGCGGTCCTCCAGGACGTCACTGCCAAGGGCAGGAGCACCCCCGACAGACGGAGGACAGGCAGGGTCAGAGACCAGAGCGGAGGCGTAGTCAAGGCGGCGGGTAGAGGCGAAGTCAGCGACAGCAGCGACAAGAGCGTCAAGGCACGAGGTCGGAACAGACGGGTCGGTAACGAGAGAGGCAAGGACCCGAGGGACAAGGGGACGAGCGGCACGAAGGTAGTCAGACAGCGGGGGGGGTGCAACAACAAGGGAGGACGGGGGAGGCGACGGCAGAAGGGGAGGACGAGACGCGTGGGACCGAAGCAACATAGGGTGGGAGCGCAAGACAGGCGAGGCAGGACGAGCACGGGAGGGACGGTGAGACCAGACGTGCGACGGAGGAGTCGGGTCAGGAGACAAAGGAGGGGACACAAGAGGGTAACGAGGGGGTAGACGGGCCGGGGACGAGTCCGGCGGAGGGAAGACAGGGCCGTAGACAGGAAGAGGAGGAGACGGTCGGGGAGGAACCGACACAGGGTCGGGGGACGGAAGGCCGAGAAGGCGAAGGGCTGACACCGGCGGGGACTGCTGCTGCGGCGGTACAACGGCGACACCGGGACCGCAAGCTGCTCCTCGGCTACCACCGGCACTCTCCACACCAGCACCCCCAGAGGGACCACCACCAGGGCTACCGGGACGAGCACCCCCAGAGTCAGCGAGCGGGTGCGGCGGCGGCGGCGGTAACGACGGCTGCAGCGGCGGCAGAGGCGGTGGAGGGGGGGACTGGGGAGGGGACGCCAGGGGAGGGGTGGCCGGCGAGGACTGAACACGAGGGCCACCAGAGTCAGAAGACTCCTCAACCGGGTCCACCGACGGAAGGGGGGTGACGTGGGACACACCAGAGGGGGCGGGACGGGGAGGAGGAGGAGGAGGGGCAGGGACTACCGGGGAAGGAGTGACCAGGAACAGGGGGGGGGTAACCGGGGGACCACGGTGGGGGAAGCGACGGTAGTAGGAGACGGACTCGTCAAAGGTGACGTCACGAGAGTGAAAGAAGCGGTGAGACGGCGGGTGGTAAAAGTGCCAGTCGGACGCGTCAAGGGGAAAACCGAGGAAGACGCAGGGAAGGGTGCGGGCAGTGAGCTTGTCCGTGCAGGAGGCACGGACGTGAGCAAGGCAGCCCCAGACGTGGAACGCAGACACGTCACCAGGAGACCCAGTCCAAAGACGAGTCGGCGAAACCTGCGGCTGCTGAGGGTGCGGCCACAAGTTAAGCTGGTGAGAAGCGTAGCGCACAGCGAACGGCCACAGAAAATGGGGTGCACCGGCATGGATCATGGAGGTGCGAGCCACCTCCATGACCAAACCGATGCGTCGCTCAGCGACCCCATTCTGCTGTGGGGAGTCCGGTAGGGTGAACGTCTGGGTGATGCCCTCTGCACGACAAAAACGACCAAGGACACCTGAGGCAAACTCGCCACCACGGTCGGAGTGAAGACGCAAGACAGGAAGACCGCGGTGGACACGCGCAGAGACAAGCGAAGGGATGAGAGCGCCAGGCACGTCGGCCTTGCGCTCCAGGGGAAAGACTGTGGTGTAACGAGTGAAGTCGTCGACAAGCACAAGGAAGTAGCGCTCTCGACGCGGCCCAGGGACGGGGGCGGGGCCCCAGACGTCCAGGTGCAGGGTCTGCAGTGGCGCGGCGGTAGGGGGAAACGAGGGGGTAGTGGTGGGGTCGGGTCGTCTGGTTGTAAAAGGAGACTTTGAGTAATGCAGCGGAAGTTGAGTAGTTGAACCCTTGTACTAGTATGTGAGAACAAGTGATTGATTAAGAGAACAAGCATACAGCAATATATAGAAAGTAGGGAAGTAAATCAGTTGTAGAATACAGTTGAAGAGCGGTTATCGAGTCGCACAGCGACTCGATTGTCGCTTCGGTTACCATCCTTGCAGTTGCAACGGTCAGTCGCAACCTCCGGTTGCGACCCTTCGAGTCCTTTCGTGTTCTTTGTCCACCCCCTCGTGTAACCTCCGTTGACTCGCGTACCCGTTACGATCTTACTCGAGTGTGGTGTTACACTTCAGAAATGCTCAAGTCCTCGAGATATTTCCAACACATGGGATTGAAACAGGGGAAGGGGGTGTCACAAGACTAGCTTAGCTAGGAAGCCATAAAATGGCATGAGGTTTAGCGAGGAGCTAGGAGGAGCCATGGAAATGGCGAGAGGTCTTAGGTGCTAGGAAAGTTGAGGAGAGAAAAGAGAACTAGGAAAAAAGAGGGATACAAGGAGGGGTGTTGTACCCTCTATAGCAATATTCAGTAACATCTACCAAGCCTACACTTATATAATAACTTATATAATTTAACACACCCCCTAGGCTTGGTAGTAGAAGGACCCGCACACCCCCACACCCGCTAACCTAGCACCCCCATTCCAGCCACAGTGACAGCGATACTAGCTCGGTCGACCCCTCGGCGCGTGAGGCGGCGATTATCAACTTATACATATGTTATATGTATAAGTTATAGGCTAGACTAGGTGTGTGCTTCTAGTGAGTACAACCAAACAGGTATATGTTCTAGGTTTCTCTTCCTAGTAATCATTATCGTATTCTAACATGGTATCGAGTAGGTTAGGTCCACCCGCCCGCTTCCGCCCGCGCCCTAGCCTCTCGCCCCTCCACTACCTACCTAGCCCGTCCTGTCCCCGTCGCGCCCTCCTGGCCCCGTGGCGCCCTCCTGGCCCCCGTCCCCTCCAGGCCCCGTAGTGCCCTCCTGGCCCCCGTCGCGCCCTCCAGGCCCCGTACAGCCCTCCTGGCCCCCGTCGCGCCCTCCAGACCCCGTAGCGCCCTCCTGGCCCCCGTCGCGCCCTCCAGGCCCTGTAGCGCCCTTCTGGCCTTCGTCGCGACCC